GGAAGTGTTAGGCCCTCAGCCTTGTTAGGAAGTGTTAGTCCCTCAGCCTTGCTAGGAAGTGTTAGTCCCTCAGCCTTGCTAGGAAGTGTTACTCCCTCAACCTTGCTAGGGAAATGTTTTGTCCCTCAGCCTTGCTAGAAGTGTTAGTCCCTCAGCCTTGTTAGGAAGTGTTAGCCCTCAGCCTTGCTAGGAAGTGTTAGCCCCTCAGCCTTGCTAGGAAGTGTTAGTCCCTCAGCCTTGCTAGGAAGTGTTAGCCCCTCAGCCTTGCTAGGAAGTGTTAGCCCCTCAGCCTTGCTAGGAAGTGTTAGTCCCTCAGCCTTGCTAGAAGTGTTAGCCCCTCAGCCTTGCAGGAAGTGTTAGCCCCTCAGCCTTGCTAGGAAGTGTTAGCCCCTCAGCCTTGCTAGGAAGTGTTAGCCCCTCAGCCTTGCTAGGAAGTGTTAGCCCCTCAGCCTTTCTAGGAAGTGTTAGCCCCTCAGCCTTGCTAGGAAGTGTTAGTCCCTCAGTCTTGCTAGGAAGTGTTAGCCCCTCAGCCTTGCTAGGAAGTGTTAGTCCCTCAGCCTTGATCACCTCGACCTACCGCTGCACATCTTCCATCATTTATTCTCTGTATAAGATTAATAAAGCCATTGACTGGAGAAACGTCTCACCACTGAAGACTCCCAAAGTCGCACATGTATGGTAAAAAACAGCGACAATTCTAAGTGAAAACTTTGGACATGGAGGAGCCTTAGTACAGGATAGCCAGACTATTTTTTTTTTTTTTGACTCAGAGTCGCAAAGATAACTTTTTACTCTGTAACTGGTGGCCAGGCTGAGTTTGAGAGCCACTAAATGTGTCAGGATATCACCTGAGGAGTTAATGGTAGGGTGTAGAGTATAGCCTAGTTGACGCCTTTTTGGAAGAAACAGCATACGATGCTGGTTATTATTGTGACGCTTTGGACGACGTTCGTACGTGGTTGGGTAGGGTTGGGTAGGGTTTTGGGGTTTCTCAGTGGGAGATGTATCTCGACTCTCCGTGCATTATCCTTGGACGTTAGCAGAGTGTCAATGGAGGTAAGAAGGGCAATCGTGGCGGACTTCCTATATATCTCATGGGGCATGAGGGAAACTGGGGGAGCAGTTCGGGTTAGGGCAATTGCGGCGGGTATTTATAGAACGGCTTGTAGGAATAGGATCATTTACGGTGGGAGGTGGGGTTCCACCTTCCCTGCAAGCTATAGGAGTATTACGGTACAGCGGTTACTGAGGCTGATTCATTACCTCTGTAACTTGCCATGATTGTGACCAGATCTACCTGGAGTTCATTACCTTTGTAACTAGTTCAGCTATCATAACTTTGGGGTCCAGTCACTGGACCCATTATATACCTTCGTTATCTTTTGACTACCGCCCACAGGATGGGTATGGGGTGCATAATAAATATATTAAACTTAAACTGCAGCTGAGGGGGGGAGGGTAAGGCAGCGAGGGGCTGGACTCGTCCCGTGGTAACACCCTTGGTTAGTTAAATATGTTTATTATGCACCCCATACCCATCCTGTGGGCGGTAGTCAAAAGATTACAGAGGTACATAATGGGTCCAGGGACTGGACTCCAAAGTTTTGATAGCTGAGCAAGTTACAAAGGTAATGAACTAGATCTGGTCATAATCATGACCAAGTTACAAAGGTAATGAGCTCCAGGTAGAGCTGGTCACACTCATGAATAATTGCAAAGGTAATGAATCAAACACATTAATCATGAGAATTTACAAAGGTAATGAGCTCCAGGTAGAGCTGGTCACAATCATGACAAGTTTCAAAGGTAATGAATGATAAACACGTTATCACATGATTACAATCATAGACAAATTACAGAGTAATGAGCAGTTAACAAACATAGTAGGGAATTCATCCAATGCCCCAACAACAGATGTTGCTAGGTGCCTGTCTCTCCTCGGTAGACAGCCATTGCAAACAGTAGCAAGTTGCCCAGGGATCTGCTGCTTGCACGAGCACCATCGACCCTCCCCAAGAGGTCCAAGAAGCCAGTGACTCCGTTAGCAGCCCGATGGAGAGCTGCCCTAGGGACATGTCAGCGTCCTGGTGGACGCCAAGTTGATTGAAGATCCCAGGCCCTCGTGTGCACGGATGTTGAAGCTTGAGGAACTGAGTACACACTGCCTGTGGCACACCTGACAGCTGCCTCGCGGTCGAACTCCACGATGCTGTCCCTGTAGTAGAAGTTCCTGTGAGCCCGGCACTCACTGCAGTGCCATCGCTGACATCGTGGGTTAGGGGAGAAGTACCCTCTATAGATGGGGTGGCGCTGGGAGTTCGGTGGGTGAGGCGGGGGAGACGGGCAGGGGTGAGGCATTATGAGAGGGTCACTGTTTACTACACATGCCCTCCCCCTCCCCCCCAGCGGAGAGGGGGGAGGCACTGACTGGTCCTGACTCGACAACACCAAATCCTCTAAAACTGCACAACACTTCAACTATTTACGCTGAAACGATGCACTGGGATGTCCGTTCGCTCCTCTGGTATCTTCTCAAAGCATTCACACTGAGTTCTGTTAAGTAGGGACCTGGTCAGCCTCTTTGACCAGGAGCTATCCTTGAAAATCCCGCAGCTTACGTTAGGATACTTAGAGTGAAAGGTTGAGTAGGTAAGTTGGGTGTCTGCAGTTATGGTAAGTTTTGTGCGCTTCTGGATGCTTGGTAGTGCCGAGATGTGTGACTAAGATATTGGGTTTTTTCTACTTTCTGGGTATTTTGTATAGCAAGCTGGGCAAAACGGTTTTGTTCGGCAAAATAAACAAGCACAGACATCGTTGGTTTATATATTTGTGTATATTTGTATAAAAAATTTTTTTTATTAATGTTTTATTCGGTGACGTAGACATGTCCATGTGGGTCTTTGCCAGTGTTTACGTAGGCATGTTCATGGTATTGTGTCATATAAACGTCACACTGATGTCAGATTCAATTAATATAGTGTTTATTGCCTTGATAGGGGTTAATTTTAAGTATTATAATTGGTCTGTAATCGACAACTTGTCCTTTGGGGCGCCTTTTGTAAACCGACCAACCCATGAGGCTCGTCGTTCATTTTTTGATGGAATGGCGCAGTATAGTATCTACTTATGGTTTCCTCAAGTTACGTAGTCATCTTTAGACTGCTTTTATAATTTTAAGGATTTGATGATGGATAATGTGTTGGTGTGATGAGACAGGTTTCTCAACAGGGGGGGAGGGGGGGGTACGTCGTAGTATTCCCACAGTTAACATTATGGCTAATATTCTTCTTTGGTGCTAATATTGATTGTATGTGTTGTTTAGGAACTTACAACTGATACCCTTGGTATAAGATAAGATAAGATTTCATTCGGATTTTTAACCCCGGAGGGTTAGCCACCCAGGATAACCCAAGAAAGTCAGTGCGTCATCGAGGACTAACTTATTTCCACTGTGGTCCTTAATCTTGTCCCCCAGGATGCCACCCACACCAGTCGACTAACACCCAGGTACCTATTTACTACTAGGTGAACAGGACAACAGGTGTAAGGAAACGTGTCGAAATGTTTCCACCCGCCGGGAATCGAACCCGGCCCCTCCGTGTGTGAAGCGGGAGCTTCAGCCACCAGGCCACCGGGCCTTCTGATCATAATAATCTTGATTCCAGGTGTCAACACTGCACCCACCTCGTGGGCTCTAACCTAAACCTTTTGTATTGACCGTCCAATATAACTGATTTTATACCTGTACTTTTGTCATGTGGAGTTTTTCAATATAATATATTTATATAAATAACACAGCAGGACATATACCTGATGTTAAATTATGTTTATGTTACAGTTGTAGGTATAATATTTGTGTTACAGTTGTAGGTATAATATTTGTGTTACAGTTGTAGGTATAATATTTGTGTTACAGTTGTAGGTATAATATTTGTGTTACAGTTGTAGGTATAATATTTATGTTACAGTTGTAGGTATAATATTTGTGGATTTTTCGTAATTTCACATGTAAGTTTTGTTACCATTATCATCGTCAATTATATTTTATTTGTTTTTTTCAATAATGTGCTGGACAGTGAGTTTTGGACACTAGAGATTTATTCTTTTAATTTAGGGGTTGTTATTCTTCCTCTTTTGATGGGGAAGCTTTCAATGTATTTTTTCTTGCATAACTTACTTGTTCTTCGATGATGTATTTTTCATGTATGTATTGTATGCTCACTGTTTTTTAAATAAAATATAAAAAAAAAAGTTGACGCCTGAGTCACATTAGACATACACTAAGAGAATCATAGTTGGTAGGTAAGACACAGAGGCAACAGTTAGGCAGTTAGGCCTATGTGTCTTACCTACCAACCTGTCGGTATTGTATACCATTTTGAAGAATCATAGTTGAAGTCATGGACTCTTTACCGACGGGAGACCACTTAAAAGTGACCAAAAATCCAGGACCGAAAAAAAGATGTCCTTACGCACTTTCATCCATATTATTACTTACATCACTGTCACACAAACACGGATAAAGGGTCGAGTGAGATAAGATAAGATAAGATAAGATAAGATTTCGTTCGGATTTTTAACCCCGAAGGGTTAGCCACCCAGGATAACCCAAGAAAGTCAGTGCGTCATCGAGGACTGTCTAACTTATTTCCATTGTGGTCATTAATCTTGTCCCCCAGGATGCGACCCACACCAGTCGACTAACACCCAGGAACCTATTTGCTGCTAGGTGAACAGGACAATAGGTGTAAGGAAACGTGTCGGAATTTCCACCCGCCGGGAATCGAACCCGGGCCCTCCGTGTGTGAAGCGGGAGCTTTAGCCACCAGACCACCGGGCCACCTAGAGATAGGTGTAACTCTCTTCATTCCAGGAACTGTCTTACAGTGACACCCTTACGGATTTACTGCTTTCTCAGCAATAAAAGAATGATAATAATTCACACGTGATAACTCTCACGTTTATATCTTAAACTGTGAAATTATTAAATTAACATTTACCTGTCATTGCCGAGTATTTGTTGGTGTGACGAGTAAGGATTATAAGAAGTTCTGGTTCTCTTGTGTAGAACTCTATCCAGAACTGGAGGTCTTGTAGCTAGGAACTCTTGTAGCGGTGTGTTCAGTGGTTCTTGTAGCTAGGAGCTGTTGCTGTAGTGTGTTCGGTGGTTCTTGTAGCTAGGAACTCTTGTAGCGGTGTGTTCAGTGGTTCTTGTAGCTAGGAGCTGTTGCTGTAGTGTGTTCGGTGGTTCTTGTAGCTAGGAACTCTTGTAGCGGTGTGTTCAGTGATTCTTGTAGCTAGGAGTTGTTGCAGTAGTGTGTTCGGTGGTTCTTGTAGCTAGGAACTCTTGTAGCGGTGTGTTCAGTGGTTTTGTTGCTAGGAGCTGTTGTAGTGGTGTGTTCACTGGTTCTTGTAGCTAGGAGCTGTTGTAGCGGTGTGTTCGGTGGTTCTTGTAGCTAGGAACTGTTGTAGTGGTGTGTTCACTGGTTCTTGTAGCTAGGAACTCTTGTAGTAGTGTGTTCAGTGGTTCTTGTAGCTAGGAACTCTTGTAGTAGTGTGTTCAGTGGTTCTTGTAGCTAGGAACTCTTGTAGTAGTGTGTTCAGTGGTTCTTGTAGCTAGGAGCTGTTGTAGTGGTGTGTTCACTGGTTCTTGTAGCTAGGAGCTGTTGTAGTGGTGTGTTCAGTGGTTCTTGTAGCTAGGAGCTGTTGTAGTGGTGTGTTCAGTGGTTCTTGTAGCTAGGAACTGTTGTAGTGGTGTGTTCGGTGGTTCTTGTAGCTAGGAACTGTTGTAGTGGTGTGTTCGGTGGTTCTTGTAGCTAGGAACTGTTGTAGTGGTGTGTTCGGTGGTTCTTGTAGCTAGGAACTGTTGTAGTGGTGTGTTCGGTGGTTCTTGTAGCTAGGAACTGTTGTAGTGGTGTGTTCAGTGGTTCTTGTAGCTAGGAACTGTTGTAGTGGTGTGTTCAGTGGTTCTTGTAGCTAGGAACTGTTGTAGTGGTGTGTTCGGTGGTTCTTGTAGCTAGGAACTGTTGTAGTGGTGTGTTCAGTGGTTCTTGTAGCTAGGAACTGTTGTAGTGGTGTGTTCGGTGGTTCTTGTAGCTAGGAACTGTTGTAGTGGTGTGTTCAGTGGTTCTTGTAGCTAGGAACTCTTGTAGTGGTGTGTTCAGTGGTTCTTGTAGCTAGGAACTGTTGTAGTGGTGTGTCGGTGTTCTTGTAGCTAGGAACTGTGTAGGTGGGTGTTCAGTGGTTCTTGTAGCTAGGAGCTGTTGTAGTGGTGTGTTCGGTGGTTCTGTAGCTAGGAACGTTGTAGTGGTGTGTTCGGTGGTTCTTTGTAGCTAGGAACTCTTGTAGTGGTGTGTTCAGTGGTTCTTGTAGTTAGGAACTCTTGTAGTGGTGTGTTCAGTGGTTCTTGTAACTAGGAGCTGTTGTAGCGGTGTGTTCCGTGGTTCTTGTAGCTAGGAACACTTGTAGTGGTGTGTTCGGTGGTTTTTGCAGCTAGAAACTATTGTAGTGATGTGTACAGTATTTCTTGTAGCCAGGAACAGTTACAGTGGTGTGGTCATTGGTCTTGTAGCCAGGAACTGTCACAGTGATCGTGTAGCCAGGAACTGTCACAGTGGTCGTGTAGCCAGGAACTATCACAGTGGTGGTGTAACCAGGAACTATCACAGTGGTGGTGTAACCAGGAACTATCACAGTGGTGGTGTAGCCAGGAATTGTGGTGTTGGCCAGTGGTCGTGTAGCCAGGAACTATGGTGTTGGTCAGTGGTCGTGTAGCCAGGAACTGTGGTGTTGGTCAGTGGTGGTGTAGCCAGGAACTGTGGTGTTGGTCAGTGGTGGTGTAGCCAGTAACTGTGGTGTTGGTCAGTGATCTTCCCTGGAGGACTAAGAGTGTGTACCTCCCAACTACACACACATCACACGACTGTTATCACTCGCCCTACCCATCTCCATTATCACATCCTTCAAGGTTGCCAACAACATATGTACTTGCTAGGAAAGCTGCAAATCAACCTCGGGGCTCACAAATTTCTTAGAAATACTCAAAACATCCTTGTGATATGCCTTTATTTTCCCACACAATTGTGACTCCATTTTTTGTAATATTTTCCAAAAGTTAGACATGTACTGTGTAAAAATTAATGTTAGAGATGGTATTTCACCTTGACACGATCAGTCAAGAATATTTCCCCCCTAGATCGGGAGTTTTGTTGTTTAATAAATATCTTTATTAGGCACCAGATACCCATCCTGTGGGAGTCAAAAGATCGGGATTAACATATTATCCATATATGTGTTTTGCTTATATCTTGAGAATGCTTCATTCGCTCGGCGTCAAATTTTCAAGGATCTGTAAAATTTAACGAAGGGTTGTTGAACGTCTAGAAGGGTTGGTAGCGCACTCAGCTCACAAAACTGGGGTTTCCGGGGTGTCGACCCCCCGGTACGGGTGGAAAAAATTAGGATTTGTTTCTTTAAGACCCCGCTTCCCTGTTCACCTAGCAGTAAATAGGTACCTGGGTGTGAGTCACCCTACACCTGCTGTTCATGTTCACCTAGCAGTAAGTAGGTACCTGGATATTAGTTACCTTACACCTGCTATCCCTGTTCACCTAGCAGTAAAACAGGTACCTAAGTGCTAGCCGACTGATGTGGGTCGCATCCTGGGGACAAGAGTAACTTAAGTTGTGGGAAATGCTCTACATAACTAGTGACTTTCTACACAGTATGTCATTGATGTGAGCTATGGTCTGTATAAGTTGTATCATGTACTTGTAGCGTATCATCGCAGTAACAACACTAGTGCTGAGAATTTGTAGCTGTATGGATAAAATATTCTGAAATCACATACGAAAACAATGGAAAAACAACTGACAATCTGAGGATTTATAAACCTAACTATATCGCCTCAAACCAACACTATATAATTTTATTCTAGGCTATCATAAGATAATTTTTATTTCAAACCTGAGAAATTTAAAAACTAGGCTTTATTCGGACATTCAGTAATAATAATTTTTAATGGTGCTATGCTTTATATATCCTTTGGTATGGTAGATTATTTTGGGTGAGTTTCAATACGATCGGTTCATTGGTTTCCATACCCATCCTGTGGACGGTGGTCAAAAAAGATTACAGAGGTACACAATGGGTCCAGGAACTGGACCCCAAAGTTATTATAGCCGAAAAAAGTTACAAAGATAATGAACCATTCACACATCTCACCTGATCACAATTACAATGAGTTATTAATGTAAATATTAACTTAATTTACAGTGAACAAAGTCAGGGTAGTCTTCCAGAATGTTACGTAATGTACCACTGTGGATAAAATACTTTGACATATCCTGAACATTTCTGAGTTGTCTCTAAATTCATTAATTTACCAGGGCTACATACCTTATTACTTTTAATTAACATTAGTAAGTACACTTAAATACTTTTAGCAGGATCTGCAGTTACTGTTGCGTCTCGTGTGGGACCCATGGTTCATAATTATTATTGTATGAGTGGAAAATTTATTTTTTCACTTAATATTATATTGCTGATATTTTCATTAGTAGCTAAAATGAAGATATATTCTTTATATTATTACCTGATTCTATTTTATTAGCTATGTAAATAGGTAGGATGTATTTTTGTTGAATTATATTGGAAACAGCCTTTGATAACTACCGTAAGTTTGTTAGGGACACTCGGTCTCTCAGGGGTGTCTCGTGAACCTTGTTAGGGACACTCGGTCTCTCAGGGGTGTCTCGTGAACCTTGTTAGGGACACTCGGTCTCTCAGGGGTGTCTCGTGAACCTTGTTAGGGACACTCGGTCTCTCAGGGGTGTCTCGTGAACCTTGTTAGGGACACTCGGTCTCTTAGGGGTGTCTCGTGAACCTTGTTAGGGACACTCGGTCTCTCAGGGGTGTCTCGTGAACCTTGGTAGGGACACTCAGTCTCTCAGGGGTGTCTCGTGAACCTTGTTAGGGACACTCGGTCTCTCAGGGGTGTCTCGTGAACCTTGTTAGGGACACTCGGTCTCTCAGGGGTGTCTCGTGAACCTTGGTAGGGACACTCGGTCTCTCAGGGGTGTCTCGTGAACCTTGTTAGGGACACTCGGTCTCTCAGGGGTGTCTCGTGAACCTTGTTAGGGACACTCGGTCTCTCAGGGGTGTCTCGTGAACCTTGTTAGGGACACTCGGTCTCTCAGGGGTGTCTCGTGAACCTTGTTAGGGACACTCGGTCTCTCAGGGGTGTCTAGTGAACCTTGTTAGGGACACTCGGTCTCTCAGGGGTGTCTCGCGAACCTACTTGATGTAAGTCTTGGAGACGTTGCCTGGGTCAGTCCCTGTCTGTCTCTAGCCCAGGAAACATCTCACTCTCCTCTGAATGTTTGATTACACTCGAGTTTTGGGTCGAGGAAGGTTTCGTTGGTGAGTCGGAACCTGTTTCTCGCTACTCTGAGTATCTGTGAAGGACAGAGTTATTCCCAGACATAGTGATTTTGATACTGACTAAGGTTGTGTTTCTTTCTGACATTCTAAAGTAAAGCTTCGGATTTAACTGTATGGTTTCTACGTATTACAGTAGTCCAGAATTGTGTTAGAACGAACTTACATTCGGCATTAAGGGAGTGGTACGACTTCTATTGCTGTTATTTAGAAGATCTCTGTTGGGTTTGGTCGATTTCTTTCTTTGTTCCCTTGTGATTAATTGTTATATTCTGATGTTTCGACACATATCTTTACCTTTGTGTTAAGCTCTTGCTTTGTAGGTAATTATGGTGGAAACAGTATATTCTAACCTGGAGTTTACCTGGAGAGAGTTTCGGGGGTCAACGCCCCCGCGGCCCGGTCCGCGACCAGGCCTCCTGGTGGATCAGCGCCTTATTTTGGCTTGGTTACGAGTCTAGCCACGTCAAGGTATTATGAGTCTAGCCACGTCAAGGTATTATGAGTCTAGCCGCGTCAAGGTATTATGAGTCTAGCCACGTCAAGGTATTATGAGTCTAGCCGCGTCAAGGTATTATGAGTCTAGCCACGTCAAGGTATTATGAGTCTAGCCACGTCAAGGTATTATGAGTCTAGCCACGTCAAGGTATTATGAGTCTAGCCACGTCAAGGTATTACGAGTCTAGCCACGTCAAGGTATTACGAGTCTAGCCGCGTCAAGGTATTATGAGTCTAGCCGCGTCAAGGTATTACGAGTCTAGCCACGTCAAGGTATTATGAGTCTAGCCGCGTCAAGGTATTACGAGTCTAGCCGCGTCAAGGTATTACGAGTCTAGCCACGTCAAGGTATTACGAGTCTAGCCGCGTCAAGGTATTATGAGTCTAGCCACGTCAAGGTATTACGAGTCTAGCCACGTCAAGGTATTACGAGTCTAGCCGCGTCAAGGTATTACGAGTCTAGCCGCGTCAAGGTATTATGAGTCTAGCCACGTCAAGGTATTATGAGTCTAGCCACGTCAAGGTATTACGAGTCTAGCCACGTCAAGGTATTACGAGTCTAGCCGCGTCAAGGTATTACGAGTCTAGCCACGTCAAGGTATTATGAGTATAGCCACGTCAAGGTATTACGAGTCTAGCCGCGTCAAGGTATTACGAGTCTAGCCGCATCAAGGTATTACGAGTCTAGCCACGTCAAGGTATTACGAGTCTAGCCACGTCAAGGTATTACGAGTCTAGCCGCGTCAAGGTATTACGAGTCTAGCCGCGTCAAGGTATTACGAGTCTAGCCACGTCAAGGTATTACGAGTCTAGCCACGTCAAGGTATTATGAGTATAGCCACGTCAAGGTATTACGAGTCTAGCCGCGTCAAGGTATTACGAGTCTAGCCGCGTCAAGGTATTACGAGTCTAGCCACGTCAAGGTATTACGAGTCTAGCCGCGTCAAGGTATTACGAGTCTAGCCACGTCAAGGTATTACGAGTCTAGCCGCGTCAAGGTATTACGAGTCTAGCCGCGTCAAGGTATTACGAGTCTAGCCGCGTCAAGGTATTATGAGTCTAGCCGCGTCAATGCATTACGAGTCTAGCCACGTCAATGCATTACGAGTCTAGCCACGTCAATGCATTACGAGTCTAGCCACGTCAAGGCATTACTTGTACTTGAGATTACTGTATCACTGTAGTAAAATGGTGTCGAAGTTGTACTTTAAGTCAAGTACCTTCAGCACAATATTACCAAGAGTAATGTTCAGTAGTACTCACCGAGAGACAGAAAAGCTTTATATCACTCTATGTAATAATTTTTTAGACACTTTTATATTAAATATATTAAATTTTATCTTGTCAGATCATTGCTCCTAAGTTATAATCCCAAATCTCAAGAATGAAGGTATTTTCACCAAAGGATAACTAGACCTGTCTTTGATCTACCTACTTCTTACGGAAGAGAAAGTTATTACAGTTCTGGAGTTATCTGCACTCTTAAATTGTGGAGCCCACCATACTGGAGTTACACAGTGTAACATTCCAGGAGGTACTGGAGTTACACAGTGTAACATTCCAGGAGGTACTAGAGTTACACAGTGTTACATTCCAGAGTACTGGTTACACAGAGTAACATTCCAGGAGGTACTGGAGTTACACGGTGTAACATTCCAGGATGTACTGGAGTTACAGTGTAACATTCCAGGAGGTACTGGAGTTACACAGTGTAACATTCCAGGAGGTACTGGAGTTACACAGTGTAACATTCCAGGAGGTACTGGAGTTACACAGTGTAACATTCCAGGAGGTACTGGAGTTACCCCAGTGTAACATTCCAGGAGGTACTGGAGTTACACAGTGTAACATTCCAGGAGGTACTGGAGTTACACAGTGTAACATTCCAGGAGGTACTGGAGTTACACAGTAACATTCCAGGAGGTACTGGAGTTACACGGTATAACATTCCAGCAGGTATTGGAGTTACACGGTATAACGTTCCAGCAGGTACTGGAGTTACACAGTATAACATTCCAGCAGGTACTGGAGTTACACAGTATAACATTCCAGCAGGTATTGGAGTTACACAGTATAACATTCCAGCAGGTACTGGAGTTACACAGTATAACATTCCAGCAGGTACTGGAGTTACACAGTATAACATTCCAGCAGGTACTGGAGTTACACAGTATAACATTCCAGCAGGTACTGGAGTTACACAGTATAACATTCCAGCAGGTACTGGAGTTACACAGTATAACATTCCAGCAGGTACTGGAATTACACAGTATAACATTCCAGCAGGTACTGGAGTTACACAGTATAACATTCCAGCAGGTACTGGAGTTAAAACAGTATAACATTCCAGCAGGTACTGGAGTTACTTACACAGTATAACATCCCAGCAGGTACTGGAGTTACACAGTATAACATTCCAGCAGGTACTGGAGTTACTTACACAGTATAACATCCCAGCAGGTTACTGGAGTTACACAGTATAACATTCCAGCAGGTACTGGAGTTACACAGTATAACATTCCAGCAGGTACTGGAGTTACACAGTATAACATTCCAGCAGGTACTGGAGTTACACAGTATAACATTCCAGCAGGTACTGGAGTTACACAGTATAACATTCCAGCAGGTACTGGAGTTACACAGTATAACATTCCAGCAGGTACTGGAGTTACACAGTATAACATTCCAGCAGGTACTGGAGTTACTTACACAGTATAACATCCCAGCAGGTACTGGAGTTACACAGTATAACATTCCAGCAGGTACTGGAGTTACACAGTATAACATTCCAGCAGGTACTGGAGTTACACAGTATAACATTCCAGCAAGTACTGGAGTTACACAGTATAACATTCCAGCAGGTACTGGAGTTACACAGTATAACATTCCAGCAGGTACTGGAGTTACTTACACAGTATAACATCCCAGCAGGTACTGGAGTTACACAGTATAACATTCCAGCAGGTACTTGAGGTACACAGTATAACATTCCAGTAGGTCGATAAATTAGACACATGTGCAACTCTTGGCTATCTTTATTAAGGAAACGTATCGCCACACAGTGGCTTCATCAGTCCATACACAGTTAGTTAGTTTAATATGTTTGTTATGCACCCCATACCCATCCTGTGGGCGGTAGTCAAAAGATTACAGAGGTACATAATGGGTCCAGGGACTGGGCCTCAAAGTTTTGATAGCTGAGCAAGTTACAGAGGTAATGAATTCACAATTTACAAAGGTAATGAACTCACAATTTACAAAGGTAATGAACTCCAGGTAGGTCTAGTCACAATCATGACTAGTTACAAAGGTATTTACAGATTACAGAGGTACATCAGAGGTGGATCAGAGGTACAGAAGACTAGTGTTGATACAAGGGATACCTTTCTTGGATCACTGAGGTACAGAAGACTAGTATTGATGCAAGGGATACCTTTCTTGGATCAGAGGTACAGAAGGCTAGTGTTGATACAAGGGATACCTTTCTTGGATCACTGACTTACAGAAGACTAGTGTTTATACAAGGGATACCTTTCTTGGATCACTGAGGTACAGAAGGCTAGTGTTGATACAAGGTATACCTTTCTTGGATCAGAGGTACAGAAGACTAGTGTTGATACAAGGGATACCTTTCTTGGATCAGAGGTACAGAAGGCTAGTGTTGATACAAGGGATACCTTTCTTGGATCAGAGGAACAGAAGGCTAGTGTTGATACAAGGGATACCTTTCTTGGATCAGAGGTACAGAAGGCTAGTGTTGATACAAGGGATACCTTTCTTGGATCACTGAGGTACAGAAGGCTAGTGTTTGATACAAGGGATACCTTTCTTGGATCAGAGGTACAGAAGGCTAGTGTTGATACAAGGGATACCTTTCTTGGATCACTGAGGTACAGAAGGCTAGTGTTGATACAAGGGATACCTTTCTTGGATCAGAGGTACAGAAGGCTAGTGTTGATACAAGGGATACCTTTCTTGGATCAGAGGTACAGAAGGCTAGTGTTGATACAAGGGATACCTTTCTTGGATCAGAGGTACAGAAGACTAGTGTTGATACAAGGGATACCTTTCTTGGATCCGAGGTACAGAAGACTAGTGTTGATACAAGGGATACCTTTCTTGGATCAGAGGTACAGAAGACTAGTGTTGATACAAGGGATACCTTTCTTGGATCACTGAGGTACAGAAGACTAGTATTGATGCAAGGGATACCTTTCTTGGTTCACTGAGGTACAGAAGGCTAGTGTTGATACAAGGGATACCTTTCTTGGATCAGAGGTACAGAAGGCTAGTGTTGATACAAGGGATACCTTTCTTGGATCAGAGGTACAGAAGGCTAGTGTTGATACAAGGGATACCTTTCTTGGATCACTGAGGTACAGAAGACTAGTGTTGATACAAGGGATACCTTTCTTGGATCACTGAGGTACAGAAGGCTAGTGTTGATACAAGGGATACCTTTCTTGGATCAGAGGTACAGAAGGCTAGTGTTGATACAAGGGATACCTTTCTTGGATCAGAGGTACAGAAGGCTAGTGTTGATACAAGGGATACCTTTCTTGGATCAGAGGTACAGAAGACTAGTGTTGATCCAAGGGATACCTTTCTTGGATCAGAGGTACAGAAGGCTAGTGTTGATACAAGGGATACCTTTCTTGGATCAGAGGTACAGAAGACTAGTGTTGATACAAGGGATACCTTTCTTGGATCAGAGGTACAGAAGGCTAGTGTTGATACAAGGGATACCTTTCTTGGATCACTGAGGTACAGAAGACTAGTGTTGATACAAGGGATACCTTTCTTGGTTCAGAGGTACAGAAGACTAGTGTTGATACAAGGGATACCTTTCTTGGATCAGAGGTACAGAAGGCTAGTGTTGATACAAGGGATACCTTTCTTGGATCAGAAGTACAGAAGGCTAGTGTTGATACAAGGGATACCTTTCTTGGTTGAGGTACAGAAGACTAGTGTTGATACAAGGGATACCTTTCTTGGTTCAGAGGTACAGAAGACTAGTGTTGATACAAGGGATACCTTTCTTGGATCAGAAGTACAGAAGGCTAGTGTTGATACAAGGGATACCTTTCTTGGTTGAGGTACAGAAGACTAGTGTTGATACAAGGGATACCTTTCTTGGATCAGAGGTACAGAAGGCTAGTGTTGATACAAGGGATACCTTTCTTGGATCAGAAGTACAGAAGACTAGTGTTGATACAAGGGATACCTTTCTTGGATCAGAGGTACAGAAGGCTAGTGTTGATACAAGGGATACCTTTCTTGGATCAGAAGTACAGAAGACTAGTGTTGATACAAGGGATACCTTTCTTGGATCAGAGGTACAGAAGGCTAGTGTTGATACAAGGGATACCTTTCTTGGATCAGAGGTACAGAAGGCTAGTGTTGATACAAGGGATACCTTTCTTGGATCAGAGGTACAGAAGGCTAGTGTTGATACAAGGGATACCTTTCTTGGATCAGAAGTACAGAAGGCTAGTGTTGATACAAGGGATACACTTCTCAAGACACTGGTTAATATACACAAAAAAATGTAAAATTTGAAGCTGCCGTAACTAATGAACCCAGAGACTACCAATAATAATAATAATAATAATAACAATAAATAATAATAATAATAATAATAATAATAATATTATTATTATTATTATTTATTATTATTATTATAATCTTCATATCTACCAGTACATGATACAACTTATACAGACCATACCTGGAGAGAGTTCCGGGGGTCAACGCCCCCGCGGCCCGGTCTGTGACAAGGCCTCCTGGTGGATCACAGCCTGATCAACCAGGCTGTTACTGCTGGTTGCACGCATCAGTGACATACTATATAGAAAGCTCCTGATTAAGCAGAGCATTTTGAGCCAATAAGGGCAATTTTGTCCCCAGGATGCGACCCACACCAGTCGACTAACACCCAGGTACCTATTTTACTACTAGGTGAACATCAGGTGTAACATGACTAACACCCAGGTACCTATTTTACTACTAGGTGAACAGGGACAGCAGGTGTCTTAAGGAAACACGTCCTAATTTTCCACCAGCACCGGGGATCGAACTACGGACGTCAGTGTGTGAGGTGAGTGCGCTACCAACCGAGCTGTAGTATATCTTCACAGCCTTACTGAAGTCTCCCAACTCAGGCTGACTCATATTATTGCGCCAAATTCATCCTGGGTCCTAGACTATGACATGGGGAACGTAGCTTGCTTTCGTCCCTATGATTCTCATAGAAGAAGATAACCCACTGGTCATATAAACAACTTTTATTAATAAGATAAGAGTAACAAGTATCATATTTCTCTTGGAAATAGATATTTTTATTTTATTTTCCAAATAAAGTGAATGGTGTCGAAAGTGTGGGGATACAGGCGAGCGAAGTTCTTCACGTAGAGTGGAGTGTAACCTGCCTTCAGGTAGCACTTGATGGCACTGTGGTTGGTGGTGTGAGTTAGTAGCTCTACTGCCTTGTAACCCAGATGGTCAGCCTCACTGTGGCACGCCTCTACCAACCTGGGGAGAATCATTTCATACGTTTGTTAAGCATCCATGTCCACCCTGTGGGTGGTAGTCACCCCCATACCAACGACCCCAGTGGAATTATGTTACTGTCTAACTTTTTGGGTTATAATAGGTTATTTGTACTATGTATGATAATTGTAATGTGTACCTGTGCTTAAATAAATTACTTACCCATCGTGTGGGTGGTAGTCACTCCCATACACATCATGTGGGTGGTAGTCACCCCTATACACATCGTGTGGGTGGTAGTCACTCCCATACACATCATGTGGGTGGTAGTCACCCCTATACACATCGTGTGGGTGGTAGTCACTCCCATACACATCGTGTGGGTGGTAGTCACTCCCATACACATCGTGTGGGTGGTAGTCACCCCTATACACATCGTGTGGGTGGTAGTCACTCCCATACACATCATGTGGGTAGTAGTCACTCCCATACACATCGTGTGGGTGGTAGTCACTCCCATACACATCGTGTGGGTGGTAGTCACTCCCATACACATCGTGTGGGTGGTAGTCACTCCCATACACATCATGTGGGTAGTAGTCACTCCCATACACATCGTGTGGGTGGTAGTCACTCCCATGCACATCATGTGGGTAGTAGTCACTCCCATACACATCGTGTGGGTGGTAGTCACTCCCATACACATCATGTGGGTAGTAGTCACTCCCATACACATCGTGTGGGTGGTAGTCACTCCCATACACATCATGTGGGTAGTAGTCACTTCCATACACATCATGTGGGTGGTAGTCACTCCCATACACATCGTGTGGGTGGTAGTCACTCCCATACACATCGTATACGTGGTAATCAAAGAATTACAGAGAAAATGGGAGGTAACCGGATTTGATCCGAAGAGAGGGAGAGTAACATCGCTAAATTACTAACATAAATTTAGCACATCATACAGAATAAACACATGACGAAACATATTTTTCTCCACCAACCTTGAGGCGATGTTTTTCCTTCTAAATCTTGGGTGGACGAACATTCTCATCAGCTTAGCAGTGTACGGATCATCAGTCTCTCTCACAGCTGCAGTGCCAACTATTTCACCATCCACCTCAGCCACCAAGAACAATCTGGCCGAAAGAGAAAAAAAATTAAAACCTAAACAAGTCAACAGTCGTGTCATTGACAAAAGTATTTCTGGCTATTGACCAGCAATGCTGTAATAACTCTCTCTCTCTCTCTCTCTCTCTCTTAGTGAAAAGAGGGTAGGTGGTCCCCCCACTTCGCTTTGAATAACCTTTATTGATCTATAGATTCATATAAAAAAAAGCAACTAACGAACTAAACTTTATCAAATTCACAATTTTTGCCCAGTTTTTTTATTCTTTTAGAAATTTAGACGAAGGGGGAGGGGCTATTTATTATTGTGTCATAGGGCGTATCTACATAATACTGAAAACAAAGGAGAAGACAGCAGGAACTGACCTGCGAGAGTGTGAGTAGTAGCACATCAGGTTGAGAAGGTCAGGTCCAGGCTGGAACACTCTGCGGATCTGCCTCCAGAACATCCAGTACCGACTACCTTCCAGTACCACCATTACCCACACGCCCCACACCGCCGCCCACACCACATCCTGCCATAACACATCCTGCCATAACACATCCTGCCACAACACATCCTGCCACAACACATCCTGCCATAACACATCCTGCCATAACACATCCTGCCACAACACATCCTGCCACAACACATCCTGCCACACAACATCCTGCCACAACACATCCTGCCATAACACATCCTGCCACAACACATCCTGCCACAACACATCCTGCCACAACACATCCTGCCACAACACATCCTGCCACAACACATCCTGCCACAACACATCCTGCCACAACACATCCTGCCACAACACATCCTGCCACAACACATCCTGCCACACAACATCCTGCCACAACACATCCTGCCACAACACATCCTACCACAACACATCCTGCCACAACATCCTGCCACAACACATCCTGCCACAACACATCCTACCACAACACATCCTGCCACAACACATCCTGCCACACAACATCCTGCCACAACATCCTGCCACAACACATCCTACCACAACACATCCTGCCACAACACATCCTGCCACACAACATCCTGCCACAACACATCCTGCCACACAACATCCTGCCACAACATCCTGCCACACAACATCCTGCCACAACACATCCTGCCACAACACATCCTGCCACACAACATCCTGCCACAACATCCTGCCACAACACATCCTACCACAACACATCCTGCCACAACATCCTGCCACAACACATCCTGCCACAACACATCCTACCACAACATCCTGCCACAACACATCCTGCCACAACACATCCTACCACAACATCCTGCCACAACACATCCTGCCACAACACATCCTGCCACACAACATCCTGCCACAACATCCTGCCACAACATCCTGCCACAACACATCCTGCCACAACACATCCTGCCACAACATCCTGCCACAACACATCCTGCCACAACATCCTGCCACAACATCCTGCCACACAACATCCTGCCACACAACATCCTGCCACAACATCCTGCCACAACATCCTGCCACAACACATCCTGCCACAACACATCCTGCCACAACATCCTGCCACAACATCCTGCCACAACATCCTGCCACACAACATCCTGCCACACAACATCCTGCCACAACATCCTGCCACAACATCCTGCCACAACACATCCTGCCACAACACATCCTGCCACAACATCCTGCCACAACACATCCTGCCACAACATCCTGCCACAACATCCTGCCACACAACATCCTGCCACACAACATCCTGCCACACAACATCCTGCCACACAACATCCTGCCACAACACATCCTGCCACACAACATCCTGCCACAACACATCCTGCCACAACACATCCTGCCACAACACATCCTGCCACAACACATCCTACCACAACACATCCTGCCACAACATCCTGCCACACAACATCCTGCCACAACACATCCTGCCACACAACATCCTGCCACACAACATCCTGCCACAACATCCTGCCACAACACATCCTGCCACAACACATCCTGCCACACAACATCCTGCCACAACATATCCTGCCACAACATCCTGCCACAACATCCTGCCACAACACATCCTGCAAACCTTTACTGAACCAAACATCGTAATTATTATCAACAAGTTGGACACGGCAGCGTACGGCCGACTTAATGCAGAAAAAAGACAGGCTGTCAAGAATACCATCTACCTATAATACACAGAGCGAAACATCGTCAAAATAAAAGCTTGATTTGCCATTGTCTTTCCTTCAATAACACAAGAAGGTTCTTCCTTTTTTGGGATACAACCCATTATAATAGTCCGCTAACTAGACTATTATTATTATTATTATTATTATTATTATTATTATTATTATTATTATTATTATTATTATTATTATTATTATTATTTCACAATTTTTCGAATGTCAACATTCATCATTTTTATATTACGTATAAATATGATTTTATGTTAATGATATGTAATATAAACATGGTCATTAGCCAAGTCAAGAATTATAATATTTCGTGTTGTTACGGTATTGAGAAAATATCCCATTATTAAAAATATTTATGTACAGTAGTACTTAAAATTGAGATAGAGGAATTGTACTAAATGAATCTGAACCAAGGACTGCTTACGACAGGTTATATATACACCGAGAGGTGCATATATCTGTGTATATAGTATGTGTATATAGCCTGGTCACGGACAAGGCCGCGGGGGCGCTGACACCAGAAATCATCTCCTGGAGTTTACCTGGAGAGAGTTTCGGGGGTCAACGCCCCCGCGGCCCGGTCTGTGACCAGGCCTCCTGGTGGATCAGCGCCTGATCAACCAGGCTGTTACTGCTGGCTGCACGCAAACCAACGTACGAGCCACAGCCCGGCTGATCAGGAACTGACTTTAGGTGCTTGTCCAGTGCCAGCTTGAAGACTGCCAGGGGTCTGTTGGTAATCCCCCTTATGTGTGCTGGGAGGCAGTTGAACAGTCTCGGGCCCCTGACACTTATTGTATGGTCTCTTAACGTGCTAGTGACACCCCTGCTTTTCATTGGGGGGATGGTGCATCGTCTGCCAAGTCTTTTGCTTTCGTAGTGAGTGATTTTCGTGTGCAAGTTCGGTACTAGTCCCTCTAGGATTTTCCAGGTGTATATAATCATGTATCTCTCCCTCCTGCGTTCCAGGGAATACAGGTTTAGAAACCTCAAGCGCTCCCAGTAATTGAGGTGTTTTATCTCCGTTATGAGCGCCGTGAAAGTTCTCTGTACATTTTCTAGGTCGGCAATTTCACCTGCCTCCAGGTATGGTATCTGTATAGTTTGTATATAGTATGTGTATAGTATGTATATAGTATGTGTGTAGTATGTATACAGTATGTAGTAGTATAGTTTAGTTTAACATTTTTATTATGTACACCATACCCATGGTGTGGGTGGTGGTCAAAAGATTACAGAGGTACATAATGGGTCCAGGGACTGGACTGCAGAGTTGTACAGTGTGAGGAAAATGATATGCAACCTTACCTGTAGTGCATTATCTGGAGTGCATTACCCGGACTGCATTACCTGGAGTGCATTACCTGGAGTGCATTACCTGGAGTTCATTACCTGGAGTTCATTACCTTTGTAACTAGTTCAGCTATCAAAACTTTGGGGCCCAGTCCTTGGACCCATTATGTACCTCTGTAATCTTTTGACTACCACCCACACCATAGGTATGGAATGTATAATAAACACATTAAACTAAGCCTTACCTGCAGGATGCAGTAAAGTAAGAGGAAGATGATAACGGTGAGGATGACGAGGTAAGGATGTTTGAAGAGGCGCAGGAGGTGGATAATAAACTCCTGCCTGGACATAACTACTTGAGAGGACCTATAAACCTCCCTCACAGCCTCCATATCACTGCTCCTCACTGCTCTTATCAACACTGTTTCTCTCCACATGATTCTTCTCTCTGCTAATGGTAAACAGGATACCTCAATGCTATTTATTCTTATTGGTATTATTATTGTTTTAACGGAATGGCCATTTCGCACAGGGTAGGTTGACCATCCAGGAAAAAAAACACATTCATAATCGTTCATTCAATAGATCTCTTGTCAAAAGTGTGCATAGTTCATAGAACTGCAACATAGGATGTTGCAGTTCCTAGAACTGCAACATAGGATGTTGCAGTTCATAGAACTGCAACATAGGATGTTGCAGTTCATAGAACTGCAACATAGGATGTTGCAGTTCATAGAACTGCAACATAGGATGTTTGCAGTTCATAGAACTGCAACATAGATGTTGCAGTTCATAGAACTGCAACATAGGATGTTGCAGTTCCTAGAACTGCAACATAGGATGTTGCAGTTCCTAGAACTGCAACATAGGATGTTGCAGTTCATAGAACTGCAACATAGGATGTTGCAGTTCATAGAACTGCAACATAGGATGTTGCAGTTCATAGAACTGCAACATAGGATGTTGCAGTTCCTAGAACTGCAACATAGGATTTGCAGTTCCTAGAACTGCAACATAGGATGTTGCAGTTCATAGAACTGCAACATAGATGTTTGCAGTTCCTAGAACTGCAACATAGGAATGTTGCAGTTCATAGAATTGCAAGCAATAGGATGTTGCAGTTCATAGAATTGCAACATAGGATGTTGCAGTTCATAGAACTGCAACATAGGATGTTGCAGTTCATAGAACTGCAACATAGGATGTTGCAGTTCCTAGAACTGCAACATCCTCACCCATCACTGTAATATCTTTCTCAAAAGAGATATTAAACTATATATACCTCAGGTAAGAGGACACATATGTAACTAATGTGACATTTTATTGTGGTAACGTTTCGCTCTCCATGAGCTTTGTTAAGCTGTTAACGGCTTGACAAAGCTCCTGGAGAGCGAAACGTTGCCACAATAAAATGTCACATTAGTTGCACTTGTGTCATTTTAATTAACATGACGTTAATTTTTCGAACATTATTACATGTATTTCGCTGCTTAAGAAAGCACGTGTCATCCATTCCGAACCAATTTCTTAGCTTCTGACGAAGAATTCGTTTTAAACCGAAACGCCTCCACTTCTGTTTCTTACCCTCTATCTATAGTGTGCCTGAACACCCTGCTGGAGTTTACCTGGAGAGAGTTCCGGGGGTCAACGCCCCCGCGGCCCGGTCTGTGACCAGGCCTCCTGGTGGATCAGAGCCTGATCAACCAGGCTGTTACTGCTGGCTGCACGCAAACCAACGTACGAGCCGCAGCCCGACTGGTCAGGAACCGACTTTAGGTGCTTGTCCAGTGCCAGCTTGAAGACTGCCAGGGGTCTGTTGGTAATCCCCCTTATGTATGTTGGGAGGCAGTTGAACAGTCTCGGGCCCCTGACACTTATTGTAAGGTCTCTTAACGTGCTAGTGACACCCCTGCTTTTCATTGGGGGGATGTTGCATCGTCTGCCAAGTCTTTTGCTTTCATAGTGAGTGATTTTCGTGTGCAAGTTCGGTACTAGTCCCTCTAGGATTTTCCAGGTGTATATAATCATGTATCTCTCTCGCCTGCATTCCAGGGAATACAGTTTTAGGAACCTCAAGCGCTCCCAGTAATTGAGGTGTTTTATCTCCGTTATGCGCGCCGTGAAGGTTCTCTGTACATTTTCTAGGTCAGCAATTTCACCTGCTGCTTAATTGTCCACTTATTGAGGAATACAGAGACAGACAGTATAATAACCTATGTGACATGTCAAGATATCTTATTAATGAAAATAAGAATCCAGATATACTAAGCAAATTTCCTAAATTTGCTTGTAACAGATAAGTGAACTATAGATATGTAGATATAAATCCATATGTATTCCTGTTAACCCTTTGGGGCCTAGTTCCTAGGCCTTTTGTGTATCCATATGTTCTCGCGCTACCGTCCACAGGATGGATATGTGGTGCACAATAAACTAGCCACTACCGTCCACAGGGTGGATATGGGGTGCACAATAAACTAGCCACTTCGGTGGCAAAAATCTAAATCTAATGAAGCTTGACCTGTTATAAGGTCACCATCGCAGCCAGCAACAGCTAGTTTTTATCATACCTGGAGTATACTTGGAGAGGCTTTCGGGGGTCAACGCCCCCGCGGTTCGGTCTGAGACCAGGCCTCGTGGTGGATCAGGGTCTGATCAACCAGGCTGTTACTGCTTTTATTTTAACTATTGTTTTGTACTGAATTACACTATATTAATTTTTAAAAGCGGCTTACGGGGACATCCTCTGGGATTAGGGCTTTAGCTTAACACTTTTGTTATGCACGTACCCCATACCCTGTGGGCGGTAGTCACCCCATACCCATCCTATGGGCGGTAGTCACCCCATACCCATCCTGTGGGTGGTAGTCACCCCATACCCATCCTATGGGTGGTAGTCACCACATACCCATCCCGTGGGTGGTAGTCACCCCATACCCATCCTGTGGGCGGTAGTCACCCCATACCCGTCCCGTGGGTGGTAGTCACCCCATACCCATCCTATGGGCGGTAGTCACCCCATACCCATCCTGTGGGCGGTAGTCACCCCATACCCATCCCGTGGGTGGTTGTCACCCCATACCCATCCTATGGGCGGTAGTCACCCCATACCCGTCCCGTGGGTGGTAGTCACCCCATACCCATCTTGTGGGCAGCAGTCAAAAAATTACAAAGGTACATAATGGGTCCAGGAACTGGGCCCCAAAGTTTTGATAGCTGAACTAGTTACAAAGGCAATTAATCATCTACACGTCTATACATGGTAAGTAAGTTTATTCAGGTATACACAAATACATGTACAGTTACATAGAATTATCATACATAGCAGCATATGTGTAGAGAACCTGGGATAACCCAAAAAAGTTAGTGACTTATTTCCATTGGGGTAACTTACAGTCCTTTATTTTCCATTGTTGGTTCCCCTCAATAGCTGAAGTCCTTCCACATCCCCCCCCCCAGGCTGATATTGGTGTAGGGGCTCCCTTGATTTAATATTCCATTGTGTTTACAGTCACAAATTAAGCTAATACTTCAATTCCCCCCCCACGCTGGTCTAAGTCCATAGGGATTCGCCCCTATTATTCAAACAATAATTCAGAAAGCTTAGCATAAATATAATAATCGAAGATATCAAGCAATTCCAAGCACATTGGACCTGGAAATGTCTTATTTGCATCCCCCCCGATGTGTGGCATCAAAAATTAAGAGCATAATTAGGATAGGACTAAATTATAGCTAACAAGGATATCAGAGGTAATGCTCACAAAAAAAGGTTATGAACACTAGTTGAAATATGTTTATTATACTCCCTCTCTTTGGCGTAGTCAAAAGTATTCACCAGGTACATAATGGTCCAGGGACTAGGCTCCAAAATATAAAAGTTACTGAAAAACTCAAACTTTACATAGTATATGAACAAATAACAATTCTTGTTTATTTCTCTTTGTAAAATATATTGTTATCCAGTTCTTTCATTCCTCATAGTACTAGAAATGCTTCTAGGGATTCTATTTTTTTGTTAGTTTAAATATAATAATTACTTGAAAATGTTGCACAAATCACCTTGATAACCAAAGTAATGTATTTTATTTAATTTTATTAAATATATTTTTATTATATTTTTTTTTACTTTAGCACTACTATAGTAACAATGCAGATTAAGGGGAAAGGGTAACCATTTAACTTTTGCTACTACGGTTTAAAAATTGTTCATCTATCAAGTTTCCCAAACACCCCTTGTACCCTGTAATGTTTATAGTCCTAATTATTATCTGTATATTTATTACATTCTGGACCCAGAGGTACCTCGTAAATTAAGTACAGTCTGAGCCCAGTATGCCCAAGAGGTCCCCCCCATTATACTCTGTTTTTAGCATTACGTATGCCCTCTTAAATGTTGTTCAGCCTACTCCAATGTTTTGTAGTGCCCAGACCCGGACCCAGTATGTACCTCTGTAATGTTGAAGTATAGTCCCTGAACCCAGTATGTACCTCTGTAATGTTAAATGTACAGTCCCTGGACCCAGTATGTACCTCTGTAATGTTGAAGTACAGTCCCTGGACCCAGTATGTACCTCTGTAATGTTGAAGTACAGTCCCTGGACCCAGTATGTACCTCTGTAATGTTAAATGTACAGTCCCTGGGACCCAATATGTACCTCTGTAATGTTGAAGTACAGTCCCTGGACCCAGTATGTCCTCTGTAATGTTGAAGTACAGTCCCTGGACCCAGTATGTGCCTCTGTAATGTTAAGTACAGTCCCTGGACCCAGTATGTACCTCTGTAATGTTGAAGTACAGTCCCTGGACCCAGTATGTACCTCTGTAATGTTGAAGTACAGTCCCTGGACCCAGTATGTACCTCTGTAATGTTGATGTACAGTCCCTGAACCCAGTATGTACCTCTGTAATGTTGATGTACAGTCCCTGGACCCAGTATGTACCTCTGTCATGTTGAAGTACAGTCCCTGAACCCAGTATGTACCTCTGTAATGTTGATGTACAGTCCCTGGACCCAGTATGTACCTCTGTAATGTTGACGTACAGTCCCTAGACCCAATATGTACCTCTGTAATGTTGAAGTACAGTCCCTGGACCCAGTATGTACCTCTGTAATGTTGAAGTACAGTCCCTAGACCCAATATGTACCTCTGTAATGTTGAAGTACAGTCCCTGGACCCAGTATGTACCTCTGTAATGTTGAAGTACAGTCCCTGGACCCAGTATGTGCCTCTGTAATGTTGAAGTACAGTCCCTGGACCCAGTATGTACCTCTGTAATGTTGAAGTACAGTCCCTGGACCCAGTATGTACCTCTGTAATGTTGAAGTACAGTCCCTGGACCCAGTATGTACCTCTGTAATGTTGAAGTACAGTCCCTGGACCCAGTATGTACCTCTGTAATGTTGAAGTACAGTCCCTGGACCCAGTATGTACCTCTGTAATGTTGAATGTACAGTCCCTGGACCCAGTATGTGCCTCTGTAATGTTGAAGTACAGTACCTCTGTGTTCAAATTCAATTCAAATTCAAATTCAAAGTGATAGAAACACAGGCCTTATCTCTAGGCTTTATTGAACATAGAATCTTCATAGTACTTCTGCAACAAAATATATGACTAATACATCTAATAACTGCTTCTACGGGATGGTAATGTCTTGCATATGTCAAGAGAAAAGTTATAACTACAGGCCACATATTTAAACTCACCATGTAATCTGCATCACTTATATGTGGAATATGTGGATATAAGACAAGAGAATCACACACGATGTGCTCACGCCCATGACACACACCAAACTGTTGTTGTTGTTGTTGTTAAGGGCCCCGAGAGGTGGTGCAGTATTATCCTGCTGCTGCTCCCCACAGGAGAAGTATCACTACAATCTCCCCCTTCTAAAATATCAGAGACAGTAATCTCCCAAACTGTTAGGTGGGCGACGTACACGTCCCGACCTTCGTAGCCCTTGAGCCTCTTCAGCAGGTTCAATATTTTCCAGAGGGGTTTGACTAACTGCTGGAGCAGAATCCTCTATTTCCGTAGGGGTAGTCTCAAGGGGCTTTCCAGGAGAAAACGAAGCATCTTTCACATCTATTGGTGTATCTTGAGATTCCACACTAATGGGGATTTCAGCTAGGGCTAAATGTCTTGTAGATACTGTAGTCTCTTCACCATTTTGGTAGTGAATGTGGGCGTAATGTGGATTAGCATGCAGGAGCTCTACCTCTTCCACTAAAGGATCCGTCTTGTTCATCCTACGGTGACTCTTCAGGAGAACGGGTCCAGGATGACATAACCAAGTGGGCACGGAGGCTCCCGTAGAGGAACGATGTGAATAGTTGAGGAGTCTTTCATGAGGGGTTGCATTAGTAGCTGTGCACAGCAATGATCTAATAGAGTGAAGAGCATCAGGTAGGACAGTTTGCCAGTGTTGAACAGGTAGATTACACGACTTCAATGTCATTGTAACTGCCTTCCATATAGTACCATTGAACCGCTCCACTTGACCATTGCCTTGAGGGTTGTAGCTTGTTATTCTGCTGCAGGCAATACCTTTGCTAGCCAAAAACTCCTGAAGTTCGTTACTCATGAACGAGGATCCCTGTCTAAATTTGGAAAATAAGCTGGCATACCAAAAATAGAGAACAACTGTGAAAGACAACTAATAACAGTTGAAGCAGTCATATTTGCACAGGGGAACACAAAGGGAAACCTTGAATATTCATCTACTATGTTAAGGAAATATCTATTCTGATTTGTGCTTGGTAGAGGTCCTTTGAAATCTATATTCAGTCTCTCGAAAGGCTGGGTGGATTTAATGAGATGAGTCTTCTCTGACTGATGAAAGTTTGGCTTGCACTCTGCACATACTCTGCATGCTCTGATCACTTGTCGCACATCTTCCACTGAGTAGGGCATGTTCTTTGATTTGACAAAATGGTACAGGCGTGTAACTCCTGGGTGACACAAAGCCTTGTGGAGTGCTGAGAGTGATTGTAAATCATGACATGCTGCTCCACAGTGGGACCTAGAGAATGCATCAGGTGAGATGTTCTCTTGACCCGGTCGGTACAGAATATCAAAGTCATAAAATGATAGTTCCATCCTCCAGCGTAATATCTTGTCATTCTTTATCTTACTTTTGTGCTTCTTGTCGAATATACACATCATGGACCGTTGGTCAGTCCTTATGGTGAAATGTCTACCAGTTAAATAATGCCTCCAGTGGCGAACTGCTTCTATGATGGCCTGGGCTTCCTTTTCTACAGCAGCGTAACATTTCTCTGATCCTTGAAAAGTTCTCGAAAAGAAGGCTACTGGTCGTCCTGCCTGAGATAAGACTGCAGCAATGGCAATGTCAGACGCATCCGTTTCCACTTCGAATGGTAGAGACTCATCAATGGTTTGAACTACTGAGTTTTCAATGTCCTGTTTGAGAGTATGGAAAGCGGCTTCTGCTTCCTTTGTCACAGGAAATGTGGTAGCACTCAATGGGCGGACTTTACTTGAATAGTTGTAGATCCATTGTGAGTAATAAGCAAAGAGACCAAGAGTTCTTCGGAGTGACTTTTTGTCTTGAGGCATTGGAAGTTCCCGTAGAGCTCGTAGTCGTTCAGGGTCTGGGAATATTGAACCTCCTTCCACTACATAACCAAGGATGCTAAGTCTTTTAGTTGAAAAAGTGCACTTTTCCTCATTGTAACTGATATTTTTCTTCTTGGCGGCTTCCAAAAACTTATCAAGGTTTGCATCATGTTCCTCCTGGGTCTTGCCACAAATGGTAACATTATCTAAATACGCATAAGTTCCCATGAGTTGCTCTTCCTGAATGAATGAATCCATAATTCGTTGGAAGCAGGCTACCCCATTGGTGACTCCAAAAGGGACTCTGGTAAACTGATACAGGCCATCACTAGCCTGAAACGCTGTGTATGGTTTATCTTCATTCCTTATAGGGACTTGATGATAGGCACTCTGTAGATCAATTGTGCTAAACACATAGTACGGAGCAATTTTGTTCACTGTATCATCAATTCGAGGTAGAGGGTACCCATCAAGAAGTGTAAATTTGTTGATTGTCTCAGAGTAATCGATAGCCAGTCTCCGTTTCCTATAATCATCTTTAACAACAACCTGTGCACGCCAAGGGGAATTACTCGGTTCTATAATACCCTCCTTCAGCAGCCTCTGAGTTTCTTTCTCAATGAACATCCGATCCTCATAAGAATAGCGGCGTGACTTAGCTGATATAGGATGGCAATCCGCGGTAAGATTTGCAAACAGCTTTGGTGGGTCAACCCTTAAAGTGCTAAGTCCACAGACAACAAGAGGAGGCAGTTCACCTCCATATGTTAAGGTGACACTATCATGCAGCTTCTGAAAGTCCTGACCAAGGATAACATCAGAGCACAGTTGTGGCAGAATAGCTAAATGTACATCTTGATAATCCTTTCCATTAACTCTGAGATTTACCTTACAAAACCCTAAGGTCTGAATAGAGAGAGATGTTGATGCCATGGAAACGGTACCTGATGAGTGATGTACAGTCAAGGAGTGGCGTTTAACTAAGTCAAGGTTGATGAAACTCTCTGAGCTGCCACTATCAATAAGACCATCTACTTCTGTTCCTTTGATGAATACTTTCACAACTGCCTTTGACAGTGACTTTGCAAAAGCCTTCGACAAGTGTGACCATGGCGTAATAGCGCACAAAATGCGTGCTAAAGGAATAACAGGAAAAGTCGGGCGATGGATCTATAATTTCCTCACTAACAGAACACAGAGAGTAGTCGTCAACAGAGCAAAGTCCGGGGCAGCTACGGTGAAAAGCTCTGTTCCACAAGGCACAGTACTAGCTCCCATCTTGTTCCTCATCCTCATATCTGACATAGACAAGGATGTCAGCCACAGCACCGTGTCTTCCTTTGCAGATGACACCCGATTCTGCATGACAGTGTCTTCCATTGCAGACACTGCAAGGCTCCAGGCGGACATCAACCAAATCTTTCAGTGGGCTGCAGAAAACAATATGAAGTTCAACGATGAGAAATTTCAATTACTCAGATATGGTAAACACCAGGAAATTAAATCTTCATCAGAGTACAAAACAAATTCTGGCCACAAAATAGAGTGAAACACCAACGTCAAAGACCTGGGAGTGATCATGTCGGAGGATCTCACCTTCAAGGACCATAACATTGTATCAATCGCATCTGCTAGAAAAATGACAGGATGGATAATGAGAACCTTCAAAACTAGGGAGGCCAAGCAGGTGAAATTGCTGACCTAGAAAATGTACAGAGAACCTTCACAGCGCGCATAACGGAGATAAAACACCTCAATTACTGGGAGCGCTTGAGGTTCCTAAACCTGTATTCCCTGGAATGCAGGCGGGAGAGATACATGATTATATACACCTGGAAAATCCTAGAGGAACTAGTACCGAACTTGCACACGAAAATCACTCACTATGAAAGCAAAAGACTTGGCAGACGATGCAACATCCCCCCAATGAAAAGCAGGGGTGTCACTAGCACGTTAAGAGACCATACAAAAAGTGTCAGGGGCCCGAGACTGTTCAACTGCCTCCCAGCATACATAAGGGGGATTACCAACAGACCCCTGGCAGTCTTCAAGCTGGCACTGGACAAGCACCTAAAGTCGGTTCCTGACCAGCCGGGCTGTGGCTCGTACGTTGGTTTGCGTGCAGCCAGCAGTAACAGCCTGGTTGATCAGACTCTGATCCACCAAGAGGCCTGGTCACAGACCGAGCTGCGGGGGCGTTGACCCCCGGAACTCTCTCCAGGTAAACTCCATGTGTTGGCGCCCATGACACACACCAAACTGTTGTTGTTGTTAAGGGCCCCGAGAGGTGGTGCAGTATTATCCTGCTGCTGCTCCCCACAGGAGCAGTATCACTACACTCTGCAATGTTGAGGTACAGTTCCTGGACCCAGTATGTACCTCTGAAATGTTGAAATACAGTACCTCTGCAGTGCTGAGGTACAGTTCCTGGACCCAGTATGTACTTCTGTTGTGTTGAGGTACAGCCCCTGGACCCAGTATTTACTTTTGTAATGTTGAGGTACAGTCCCTGGACCCAGTATCTACCTCTGTAATGTTGAGATAGAGCCCCTGGACCCAGTATCTACCTCTGTAATGTTGAGGTACAGTCCCTGGACCCAGTATCTACCTCTGTACCTGGAGTTTACCTGGAGAGAGTTTCGGGGGTCAACGCCCCCGCGGCCCGGTCTGTGACCAGGCCTCCTGGTGGATCAGCGCCTGATCAACCAGGCTGTTGCTGCTGGCTGCACGCAAACCAACGTACGAGCCACAGCCCGGCTGATCAGGAACTGTCTTTAGGTGCTTGTCCAGTGCCAGCTTGAAGACTGCCAGGGGTCTGTTGGTAATCCCCCTTATGTGTGCTGGGAGGCAGTTGAACAGTCTCGGGCCCCTGACACTTATTGTATGGTCTCTTAACGTGCTAGTGACACCCCTGCTTTTCATTGGGGGGATGGTGCATCGTCTGCCAAGTCTTTTGCTTTCGTAGTGAGTGATTTTCGTGTGCAAGTTTGGTACTAGTCCCTCTAGGATTTTCCAGGTGTATATAATCATGTATCTCTCCCTCCTGCGTTCCAGGGAATACAGGTTTAGAAACCTCAAGCGCTCCCAGTAATTGAGGTGTTTTATCTCCGTTATGCGCGCCGTGAAAGTTCTCTGTACATTTTCTAGGTCGGCAATTTCACCTGCCTTGAAAGGTGCTGTTAGAGTGCAGCAATATTCCAGCCTAGATAGAACAAGTGACCTGAAGAGTGTCATCATGTTGAGGTACAGCCTCTGGACCCAGTATCTACCTCTGTAATGTTGAGGTACAGTCCCTGCACTTAGTATGTACCTCTGTAATGTTAAGGTACAGTCGCTGCAACCATTGTGTACCTCTATTAAGAGGCGTCACTAGGGTTGGTGTCACCCGGGGCAGCATCTTTGGTGTCACCCCCATGAAATCCAAGGACGGGGGGACAGGGGTAGTAAACTCCAGTTACATCACTGCTGCACGACCAGTTACATCACTGCTGCACGACCAGTTACATCACTGCTGCACGACCAATTACATCACTGCTGCACGACCAGTTACATCACTGCTGCACGACCAATTACATCACTGCTGCACGACCAGTTACATCACTGCTGCACGACCAGTTACATCACTGCTGCATGACCAGTTACATCACTGCTGCACGACCAGTTACATCACTACTGCACGACCAGTTACATCACTGCTGCACGACCAGTTACATCACTGCTGCATGACCAGTTACATCACTGCTGCACGACCAGTTACATCACTGCTGCATGGCCAGTTACATCACTGCTGCATGACCAGTTATATCACTGCTGCATGACCAGTTACATCACTGCTGCACGACCAGTTACATCACTGCTGCACGACCAGTTACATCACTGCTGCACGACCAGTTACATCACTGCTGCATGACCAGTTACATCACTGCTGCACGACCAGTTACATCACTGCTGCACGACCAGTTACATCACTGCTGCATGACCAGTTACATCACTGCTGCACGACCAGTTACATCACTACTGCACGACCAGTTACATCACTGCTGCACGACCAGTTACATCACTGCTGCATGACCAGTTACATCACTGCTGCACGACCAGTTACATCACTGCTGCATGGCCAGTTACATCACTGCTGCATGACCAGTTATATCACTGCTGCATGACCAGTTACATCACTGCTGCACGACCAGTTACATCACTGCTGCATGACCAGTTACATCACTGCTGCACGACCAGTTACATCACTGCTGCATGACCAGTTAAATCACTGCTGCATGACAAGTTACATCACTGCTGCATGACCAGTTACATCACTGCTGCATGACCAGTTACATCACTGCTGCATGACCAGTTACATCGCTGCTGCACGACCAGTTACATCACTGCTGCATGACCAGTTACATAACTGCTACCTGACCAGTTACATCACTGCTGCATGGCCAGTTACATCACTGCTGCATGACCAGTTACATCACTGCTGCATGACCAGTTACATCACTGCTGCACGACCAGTTACACAACTGCTACCTGACCAGTTACATCACTGCTGCATGGCCAGTTACATCACTGCTGCATGACCAGTTACATCACTGCTGCATGACCAGTTATATCACTGCTGCATGACCAGTTACATCACTACTGCACGACCAGTTACATCACTGCTGCACGACCAGTTACATCACTGCTGCACGACCAGTTACGTCACTGCTGCATGACCAGTTACATCACTGCTGCATGACCAGTTACATCACTGCTGCACGACCAGTTACATCACTGCTGCACGACCAGTTACATCACTGCTGCACGACCAGTTACATCACTACTGCACGACCAGTTACATCACTGCTGCACGACCAGTTACATCACTGCTGCATGACCAGTTACATCACTGCTGCATGACCAGTTACATCACTGCTGCATGACCAGTTACATCACTGCTGCATGACCAGTTACATCACTGCTGCACGACCAGTTACATAACTGCTACCTGACCAGTTACATCACTGCTACCTGACCAGTTACATCACTGCTGCATGACCAGTTACATCACTGCTGCACGACCAGTTACATAACTGCTACCTGACCATTTTACATCACTGCTACCTGACCAGTTACATCACTGCTGCATGACCAGTTACATCACTGCTGCATGACCAGTTACATCACTGCTGCATGACCAGTTACATCACTGCTGCATGACCAGTTACATCACTGCTGCACGACCAGTTACATCACTCCCTGCATGACCAGTTTACATCACTGCTGCATGACCAGTTACATCACTGCTGCATGACCAGTTACATCGCTGCTGCACGACCAGTTACATCACTGCTGCATGACCAGTTACATCACTGCTGCATGACCAGTTACATCACTGCTGCATGACCAGTTACATCACTGCTGCATGACCAGTTACATCGCTGCTGCACGACCAGTTACATCACTGCTGCACGACCAGTTACATCACTGCTGCATGACCAGTTACATCACTGCTGCACGACCAGTTACATCACTGCTGCATGATCAGTTACATCACTGCTGCATGACCAGTTACATCACTGCTGCACGACCAGTTACATCACTGCTGCATGACCAGTTACATCACTGCTGCATGACCAGTTACATCGCTCCCTGCACGACCAGTTACATCACTGCTGCATGACCAGTAACATCACTGCTGCATGACCAGTTACATCACTGCTGCATGACCAGTAACATCACTGTTGCATGACCAGTTACATCACTGCTGCATGACCAGTAACATAACTGCTACCTGACCAGTTACATCACTGCTGCATGACCAGTTACATCACTGCTGCATGACCAGTTACATCACTGCTGCATGACCAGTAACATCACTGCTGCATGACCAGTTACATCACTGCTGCATGACCAGTTACATCACTGCTGCATGACCAGTAACATAACTGCTACCTGACCAGTTACATCACTGCTGCATGACCAGTAACATCACTGCTGCATGACCAGTTACATCACTGCTGCATGACCAGTTACATCACTGCTGCATGACCAGTTACATCACTGCTGCATGACCAGTTACATCACTGCTGCATGACCAGTTACATCACTGCTGCATGACCAGTTACATCACTGCTGCATGACCAGTTACATCACTGCTGCATGACCAGTTACTCACTGCTGCATGACCAGTTACATCACTGCTGCATGACCAGTTACATCACTGCTGCATGACCAGTTACATCACTGCTGCATGACCAGTTACATCACTGCTGCATGACCAGTTACATCACTGCTGCATGACCAGTTACATCACTGCTGCATGACCAGTTACATCACTGCTGCACGACCAGTTACATCACTGCTGCATGACCAGTTACATCACTGCTGCATGACCAATGACTAATATTTAGCAATGAGAACGTTTAAAGGCCATAAATCAAACTTTATTAATGATAAAATAAATAATCGTAGTAATATTGAGGAAATATAAACTTAAATACCACTTTGAGTATAGGCAACAGATCCTACATTTATTCATCTTCAACAATGAAAAAAAAAAAACTTGAAAAATAAAGAAAAACAATAGTTCCGATTTAACGTTGAGTACAGGTAACATCTCATTGAATCTGATATTTCATTTCCTTGCCTTCAATCCTGCAAAATCATCTATCACATAAAAATCAATGATTTTCTCTGTATAAGCAAATTTGTACTCTGTAATTCTATAATAGGCTATATAGCAACGAAGAATTTTTCTCTTATGTTGCTGCAGCATGGTTTTGGTCATTAGTGTTACCTTCTTTAGATGCTCTATGGTATCAACCCCCAAATGGTGTCACCCAGGCTGTGGTTTGTACATTGGGATGCATGCAGCTAACAGTAACAGCCTGGTTGATCAGGCACTGATCCATCATGAGGCCTGGTCACACACTGGGCTGCAGGGGCATTGACCCCCAGAACCCTCTCCAGGTATACTTCAGGTAATGTATATAACAGCATAGAAAGTGGTGGCCCTTAACATATATAACAGCTCAGGAGTAGTAGCCCTTAACATATAACAGCTCAGAGGTGGTAGCCCTTAACATATAACAGCTCAGAGGTGGTAGCCCTTAACATATGCAACAGCTCAGGAGTTGTAGCCCTTAACATATGCAACAGCTCAGGGGTAGTAGCCCTTAACATATAACAGCTCAGATGGTGGTAGCCCTTAACATATGCAACAGCTCATGGGTTGTAGCCCTTAACATATAACAGCTCAGATGGTGGTAGCCCTTACAGAAAGGGAGGGGAATGATTTTCTATTTTTTTTAGCTAACATACGTGTAAATTTTACCTTATTCCTAGTAATGACCCTCGTATTGTAGATAGTCTTAATGACCCTCGTGTAGTAGATAGTCTTTTTAGTATGATAATAAGATGTTATCTTCATTGTAGAACAATAAGAAAATATTATAACCTTTATATTATAATAATAAGGTAAAAGGACCCCAATGGAAATAAGTCACTCTGTCTGACTTTTTTGGGTTATCCCAGGTTCTCTACACATATGCTGCTATGTATGATAATTCTATGTAACTGTATTTGTGTATACCTGAATAAACTTACTTAACATATGCAACAGCTCAGGGGTAGTAGCCCTTAACATATAACAGCTCAAGGGCGGTAGCCCTTAACATATGTAACAGCTCAGAGAGTGGTGGCCCTTAACAGGTGGACAGCAGCATCAAGTATGGCGACTCTGGTGGATAAAGTTAATATGGTCCTGACCAGCTCTGGCATGAGACCCATCACTAGGGACAACCTCTTGTATTATTATGCTCCCATCAAGGGTTCTCTCTCCTATGGTGTGCTCAGTGTTCAGATGTTCAACCCGGAGTTGTTTGAGAACTTTAAGTTCCTGTAAGTTTAGTGTGACCTTGATACTCGTCAGGGGAGGCTCTTGATCCCAGGGATTGGAGTTGCCCTCTGCTTCCTTGGATCAGATTTGGTTGTTTTTTAAATGGTTACTAGATTATGAGGGTTGATAATGTGAGAAATGTCTTCTCATTTCCCCAAGTGCTGGCCCCACGATTTTAGCACTTTACTGTGAGAACTAATAATATCCATATATTCATTTATTATAAATGATAATATGCAAGCATTTAGTAATGTGAGATCAGTACATAATAGTAGTTCATGGAGCACTGTATATGGTCGTCTATGGCAGATGGCAGTAGTCAAAGGCATTACTGAATTAGAACTTTGAAGTATTTTTCTAATATTATTACATCTCATAGATTCCCTCATGGCATCTCATGAACCCTTCATGGCACCTCATGGACCTCTTATGGCATCTCATGAACCCCTCATGCTACCTCATAGGCCCCTTGTGGCATCTCATGAACCCCTCATGCTACCTCATAGGCCCCTTGTGGCATCTCATGAACCCCTCATGCTACCTCATAGGCCCCTTATGGCATCTCATGAACCCCTCATGGCACCTCATGGAAAGTGCTATCATGTCAGTGAAGGGCTCTTGATATGATAAACTAAATTTTCTTTCCCCCCTTCCATAGAGTCAACCAGAGTCCCTCTTGTTTCCCAGGTGCTATATGATACCTACAGGTTTAGTGCTCCCTTCTGATTTAAATACACTACTGTATGTATAAGTCACCCCTTTCTCACTTGGGTAAAAGAAAAAAATTATAGTAATCTTTATTTCTACAGGTACATCATACATCTTATACAGACCATAGCTGATGTCAGTGACATACTATATAGAAAGCCCTGTTTATGCAGAGCATTTTTGGGCAAATTATGTCAATTTTGTCCCTGGGATGCAACTCACACCAGTCGACTAGCACCCAGGTGTCTTAAGGAAACACATACTAATGTTTCCACCTGTGCTGGGGATCGAACCACGAACCTTAGTGTGTTTGCTGAGTGCGCTAACAAGTGGAATTTGAAAACAGGTCATAAGTGTACCTTATCTTATATTGACACAATATGCTACAGTAGTACAGTACAGTATTATAGGAAAATACATGGGGGTTTAATAATGTACTCAGTGTCAGTGGGTTTACTTTCATGTTGTACTGCTGGTAATCTACAAGCTGTGCTGCTGTATGACCCTTGTGGGTTTTGTTCTTAGTTTTGACTGTAAGGATAATACGAGCCATGCTTCGGTTTGTAGCGCACTCAGCTTGCACATTGAAGTTCGTGATTCTATCTCCAGTACAGGTGGAAACATTGGGGCATGTTTCCTTACACCTGCTGTCCCTGTTTACCTAGTAGTAAGTAGGTACCTGGGTGTTGGCTGACTGGTGTTGGTGCATGCTGGAGACAAAATTAACCAAATTGCTCAAAATCCTCAGCATAACCAGGGGCTTTCTATGTAGTATGTCATTGATATCAGCTATTGTCTGTGTAAGTTGTATCAAATAATTGTAGAAATAATGATGATGATGATGATTATTATTAAATTTCTGTGGCTTGTGTATCATACCTTTATCTGCTTGTTTCACTCCTGGATCAGTAATTCAAATACACAGTAGTAATATGCTATGATCTGCAACCTTTGGACATATTATGCAATGATTCAGGAGGAGAGCATTTTCTGGGTTATAGTCACCTTGCTAAGATAAATTCTGTTAAAACTTAAAGTATCCATAGTTATCCTATTGTGCCAATCAAATTTCAATGTGCAATATGTATTAACCAAAAATATATTCTACCTCAGCATTCACCAAGGCAAATGTCATACCAGATTGTTACTTAAGGTCTTAAAATTTAATGAATTGGCAACCAAATTGTTACAGTGTATTGTTACAGTTTCGTGAAAACCATAGCATTCTAATAGGCTCAGTTGGCTATGCTCTCACCTCATTATTGAGTGTCTGTGGCCAACCCGGCACGAGGGGAAATGGGGGCACTTTTTCTTACACCTCTTCCCTGTTCACCTAGCAATGTTAGTCAACTGGTGTGGGTCGCATCCTTGGACAAGATTGAAGGACCCCATTGGAAGTAAGACGGACAATCCTTGATTATACACTGGCTTTCTTGGGTTTTCCTGGGTGGCAACCCTCTCCCAGGGTTTAAAAAATCCAAAAAAAACTTATGTTTCAACTGCCCTTAAAAAAAGTTAGTTAATTGTAAGGCTGCCTGAAATGCTTTGCAAAACAAAGGACTGTCTATGAAGTAGCTTATACATGTCAAAGAATCTTGTGTCAGTTGTATACTCTATAGGAAATAAAGTGTTTGTTTTCCAGTAGAAATATAGTTTTGTTATTTTTTTTATTAACATGTCAGCTGTTTCCCACCGAGGCAGGGCAACCTGAAAAAGAAGAAACACTTTTATTATCATTCACTCCATCACTGTCTTGCCAGAGACATGCCTACACTACAGTTCAAAAACTGCAATATATTTCCACCCCTATAAATGTGTGTGTATGTATGTATGTATATATATATACAGTGGACCCCCGGTTAACGATATTTTTTCACTCCAGAAGTATGTTCAGGTGCCAGTACTGACCGAATTTGTTCCCATAAGAAATATTGTGAAGTAGATTAGTCCATTTCAGACCCCCAAACATACACATACAAACGCACTTACATAAATACACTTACATAATTGGTCACATTCGGAGGTAATCGTTATGCGGGGGTCCACTGTATATATATATATAATATATATATATATATAATATATATATATATATATATATATATATATATAATATATATATATAATAAAATATATAATTATATATATATATAATATATATATATATATATATATATATATTATATATGTAGATATATATATGTATGTATATATATATATATATATATATATATATAGATATATATACAGTGGACCCCCGCATAGCGAACTTAATCCGTGCAAGAGGGCTGGGTCGTTATGCGAAATGTTCGCTATGCGAATTAATTTTCCCCATAAGAAATAATGGAAATAAAATTAATCCGTGCAAGACACCCAAAAGTATGAAAAAAAAATTTTTTTACCACAAAAAAATTTTAATTTTAGTACACACAAACTGAAAAAGGCATGCACAATTACATGACACTTACTTTTATTGAAGATCTGGTGATGATTGATGGGATGGGAGGAGGGAGAGAGAGTGTTAGTGTTTAGAAGGGGAATCCCCTTCCATTAACACTTGAGGAGGCAAGTCCTTTTCCGGGGTTACTTCCCTTCTTCTTTTAATGCCACTAGGACCAGCTTCAGAGTCACTGGACTTCTTTCTGTCCATAGAGCTCTGTACCTCCCGTTCCTTTACGATTTGTCTAAAATGGGCCATAACATTGTCATTGAAATAGTCACCAGCACGCCTTGCAACAGCTGTGTCAGGGTGATTTTCATCCATAAAGGTTTGCAGTTCAACCCACTGTGCACACATTTCCTTAATTTTTTGAAGTAGGCACAATGGATTCCACAACTGGCATAGGCTTCTCAGGTTAGCCCCAAACCCTTCAAAATCTTTCTTAATTTCCATACTAATTCTCACCCTTTTACCACAGGTTGGCACTAGAAGCTTTCTTGGGGCCCATGGTCACTTATTTTCAACAAAACAGAACCGAAAACACTGTAATAATACGAAATATTCCGAGTGTATGCTTGAATGTTACCGCGGAGGCTAGCTGGTAAACAATGGGACAGGCGGCACATGTGAGGCTGGCTGAGGCCGCACATTGGACGCGTCTCGGACGAAGTTCGCTGAGCGGGTTTTTGTCTACTATGCGGGGCAAAATTTTAGCGATCAAAGCGTTCGCTATGCGGAATGTTCGCTATGCAAGGCGTTCGCTATGCGGGGGTCCACTGTATATATAGATATATATATATATATATATGCAAAATAACCACTCTGAAAGAATAGAGAAATTCCAATTTCTCTATTCTTTCAGAGTGGTTGTTTTGCATATTCTGAAATCACCTGCTTACTGTGATCTTATTGCATATATATATATATTATATATATATATATATATATATATATATATATATATATATATATATATATATATATATATATATATATATATATATATATACATACATACATACATACATATACATATATATACACAGTGGACCCTCGACCAACGATGGCATCGATTAACGATAAATCCGACTAGCAATACATTTTAACGCAAAAATTTTGCCTCGACTAGCGCTAAAAAACTCGACCAACACTATTCGTTCCGTCTGAGACGCGTCCACTTCTTGGCCAATGTTTACAAGCCAGCCAGCCACCGCGGTCGCTTCCAAGCATACAATCGAACATTTCATATTATCACAGCCTTTTTAGTGATTGCACCTGCAATATATATAATATATATATATATATATATATATATATATATATATATATATATATATATATATATATATATATATAATATATATATATATATACAGTGGACCCCCGGTTAACGATTTTAATCCGTGCAAGAGGGGTAATGTTATGGCGAAATAATCGTTATGTGAATGAATTTTCCCCATAAGAATAATGGAAATAAAATTAATCCGTGCAAGACACCCAAAAGTATGAAAAAAAAATTTTTTTTACCACGTGAAATATTAATTTTAATACACACAAACTGAAAAAGGCATGCACACTTACATGACACTTACTTTTATTGAAGATCTGTGATGATTGATGGGATGGGAGGAGGGGAGAGCATTATCTTCTTACTGTTTAGAAGGGGAATCCCCTTCCATTAGGACTTGAGGTAGTAAGTCCTTTTCTGGGTTTACTTCCCTTCTTTTTTTAATGCACTAGGGCCAGCTTCAGAGTCACTGGACTTCTTTCGCACAAGATATCTGTCCATAGTGGCCTGTACCTCTCGTTCCTTTATCACTTCCCTAAAGTGTTTCACAACATTGTCAGTGTACAGTTGCCAACACGGCTTGCATAGCTGTGTGAGGGTGATTTTCATCCATGAAGGTTTGCACTTCAAGCCACTTTGCACAGATTTCCTTTATCTTTGTAGTAGGCAACTTCTTCAATTTCTCTCTCCCCTCCTCTGAACCAGTTTCCCCAGGTCTGGCCTCTTGCTCTTGAAGTTGATCTATCAGCTCATCAGTGGTTAGTTCTTCATTGTCCTCCTCCACCAACTCTTCCACATCCTCCCCACTAACCTCCAACCCCAAGGACTTTCCCAATGCCACAATGGATTCCTCAACTGGCACAGGATTCTCAGGGTTAGCCTCAAACCCTTCAAAATCCCTTTTGTCTACACATTCTGGCCACAGTTTTTCTTCCAAGCAGAGTTCAAGGTCCTCTTAGTCACTCCTCCCAAGCCTTACCTATAAGGTTTACACAATTGAGGATATTAAAGTGATCTCTCCAAAACTCTCTTAGAGTCAGTTGAGTTTCTGAGGTCATTACAAAGCACCTTTCAAACAGAGCTTTTGTGTACAGTTTCTTGAAGTTGGAAATAACCTGCTGGTCCAGGGGCTGCAGGAGAGGAGTGGTATTAGGAGGCAAAAACTTCACCTTAATGAAGCTCATGTCCCCATAAAGTCGCTCTGCCACGTCTGTAGATGACCAGGGGCTTTGTCTAACACCAGGAGGCACTTAAGTTCTAATTTCTTTTCAGTTAGGTAATCTTTCACATTGGGGCAAATGCATGGTGTAACCAGTTATAGAAAAATTCCCTAGTGACCCATGCCTTACTGTTTGCCCTCCACAGCACACACAAATTATCCTTGAGGACATTCTTTTTGCCTGAACGCTCTGGGAGTTTCAGAGTGATACACTAGTAAAGGCTTCACTTTGCAATCACCAGTAGCATTGGCACACATGAGAAGAGTAAGCCTGTCTTTCATAGGCTTATGTCCTGGAGTGCCTTTTCCTCCTGAGTAATGTAGGTCCTGCTTGGCATTTTCTTCCAGAACAGGCCTGTTTCATCACAATTAAACACTTCTTCAGGTTTCAGTCCTTCAGTTTCTATATACTCCTTGAATTCCTGCACATATTTTTCAGCTGCTTTGTGGTCCGAACTGGCAGCCTCACCATGCCTTATCACACTATGGATGCCACTACGCTTCTTAAATCTCTCAAACCCAAACCCTTTTCTGGCCTTAAATTCACTCACATCATCACTAGTTGCAGGCATTTTTTTAATTAAATCCTCATGCAACTTCCTAGCCTTTTCACATATGATCGCTTGAGAGACGCTATCTCCTGCTAGCTGTTTTTCATTTATCCACACCAATAAGAGTCTCCATACATCTTCCATCACTTGCGATCTTTGTTTCGAAAACACAGTTAAACCTTTGCAACAACAGCTTCCTTGATTGTCTTTTTGGTGCCCACAATAGTAGCGATGGTTGATTGGGGTTTCTTGTACAACTTGACTAGGTCGGCAATACGCACTCCACTTTCATACTTATCAATGATCTCTTTCTTCATTTCAATGGGTATCCTTACCCTTATTGGTGTAACGGTTGGCACTAGAAGCTTTCTTGGGGCCCATGGTCACTTATTTTCCAGAAACACCACCGAAAACACTGTAATAATACGAAATATTCCGAGTGTATGCTTGGATGTTAGCGCGGAGGCTGCCTGGTAAACAATGGCACGGGCGGCACATGTGAGGCTGGGTGAGGGCGCACATTGGACGCGTCTCGGACGAAAATCGGTGAGCGGGTTTTTAATCGGTATGCGCGGCAAAAATTTTGCGATTAAAGTAAGCGGTATGCGAAATAATCGCTATGTGATGCCATCGTTATGCGGGGTCCACTGTATATATATATATATATATATATATATATATATATAATACACACACGTCTGCTGACGTGTCAGCAGATGGGTCTATGAAAGATGAGGTGAATCATAGAATTGATGAGGGAAAAAGAGTGAGTGGTGCACTTAGGAGTCTGTGGAGACAAAGAACTTTGTCCTTGGAGGCAAAGAGGGGAATGTATGAGAGTATATTTTACCAATGCTCTTATATGGGTGTGAAGCATGGGTGATGAATGTTGCAGCGAGGAGAAGGCTGGAGGCAGTGGAGATGTCATTCTGAGGGCAATGTGTGGTGTGAATATAATGCAGAGAATTCGTAGTTTGGAAGTTAGGAGGAGGTGCGGGATTACCAAAACTGTTGTCCACGGGGCTGGGGAAGGGTTGTTGAGGGGGTTCGGACAGTAGAGAGAAGGGAGCAAACAGAATGACTTCAAGAGTGTATCATTTAGGGGAAGGAAGGCGGGGGGGGGGCGCCTGGGAAAGGTTGGGGGGAGGGGAAGGAGGTTTTTTTCGGGGGGGCCTTGGATTTCCCCACGGGAAAGGCGGGGGGGTTTTTGATGGGATGAATGGAGACAAGTTTTTTTTTTAATATTTGACTGCTGTTGGAGTGTGAGCAAAGAAACATTTATGAAGGGTTCGGGGAAACCCGGGCGGGCCCGGGACTTGAGTCCGGGAGATGGGAAAAAACAGTGCCTGCACTCGAAGGAGGGGTTTAATGTTCATTTTAAAAAACTGTATAAAAGCACCCTTCTGGCAAGACAGTGAGGGGAGTGAATGATGGTGAAAGTTTTTCTTTTTCGGGCCACCCTGCCATGGTGGGAATCGGCCAGTGTGATAATAATAATAATATATGTATATATATATTTATATGATTATTGTTTTTTCAGGGTAATTCCTCAGTAAAATTTCATTGCCCAAATGCTGCTTGGTGAATACCATTTCTGGGGCAGGGCCACTTGATTCCCCGTCGTCATTTACACAAGCTACTCCCAAGGAAAAATTTATTTACTGGTAAGTGAATTTATATCTCAAAAAAACGAGCATGGTGTATTTTCTCAGTTATTGTTTTCTTTTTATATTTCTTTGCATGGTACTGTAATAATAATGACTAGTAACCAATGCTCTGTGTAGTTTAAACACTATTTTTCCAACATGTTATTTAGAGAAACCCTCATTGGCATTAGAATATTCTGCAGTTTATGAATAAATCAAATTTGTAATTAGGGATGTAATTTTCTTTTTCTTATTGTTGAAACTGGAAAGGTTACTTATTTGCTTGGCCATGGCTCTTCTTACTGCACTCTGAAGGAGAATTTGGTGCTGTTCAGATTATATGATTTTCATAGTTGCTGTAAATGCCTATTGTATATGTTCCCAGTGTCAAAGTAAAAAAATATAGGGTTAAGAATGGTAAAATCTGTATACTACATAATGTTGGTCTTGCCTTAAAATCAAACACTTTTATTGAGAGACTGAACTTTTGCTAAGGTCAGAGGTGGAGATGTGTTGAGCTGAGGTTTGTTACTGTATGTGTAGTAGAAAAGCGGCATGCTATATATATGTCCATTTGTAGCAAGAAGTTCCTCTTTTTATTTTTAATATTAAGCACTAAACCCATGTGGGTCATTCAGCACAAGACTTGGTGGAGGCTTGATATTCTGTCTGCTGAGACCAAGACAGATATGCTTCCTATTTGTACTCACCCATATCTATGCTAAGAAGTTCCTTTAATGAGGGTGTCTTGGGCTGGTGAGAAACTCTTGATTAAAAAATTTAAAGCTACCCTCTTCTTCCTCCAGTCCAAGTTGATTACCCCAACTTCCATTACAAGTTGGCATTCCATGACCCATATATATCATGAAGGGTACTTTCTTGTGAATATATTTTTTCTTGTTACACTGGCTATCTCTCAACAAGGTAAGGTAGCCAAAAAAAGAAAACAGCCACCACCATTTATTCAGCAGCTGTCTTGCCAGAAGTGTGCAGACATAATTCAAATTACCCTCTGAACTGCAACATCCCCATCTTTCCTTCAGAGTGCAAGCACTGTGCTTCCCACCTCCAGTACTAAGTCTAGGTAATAGATTTTCCTGAATCCCTTATTAAATGTTACTTTGCTCGTACTCCAACAACACATCAAATCCTAAAAGCACTTGTCTCCACTCTGATGTTAAATGCTCACACACACACACCTGATGGATATTCAAATCTCTACTTTTTTGGGGGTGAATTTTTCTTCTCCCCCTATTTACACACCTTTTGAACATCCTATATTTCTCCATCCTTTCTAAATGCTCAAACCATCTCAAAATTCCTCTCCCCTTTAAATTATTCTGTTTGCAACCCTACACCATCTTCTCATTTCTACACAATAATTCTCTGCATAATATTTGTACCACACATTGTTCTCAAATATGACATTTCCACAACCTCCGGCTACCTTCTCACACCCATATTAAAAGGTTTGTACCACAATGCATTTTCCCTCTTTCCTCTATAGATAAACTTTCTTTCCTCATATGCCTGAACACTCCACCAAATCATTGCCATATATTTAAAAATCACTAAACCAGTGTGAGTGTGAATACATAATAATAAGATATGATTAATGCATTTATTTATTTTACAGCACTTTTGGGACAGTGATGTTTAATCTTGGATCAATGCTGCTATGGGCATTGGGTCGCACTGTAGCACCAGAGAATACAGTCGTGCGCACGATGATGGGTGCTGCTGGGGCAGTTGGAGCTCTGTATATTGGCAAGAATTATGTAGCTTACCTAGATGCTCATGTCAGAACTGTCAAAGCCTAGATAATGTTACCAAAATTTGATTTCACAATGCTCCTTCAGTAGTGCTTCCAACAAAGGAAGAATTTTATAGCATTAATTACTGTGAATACAAGAGCTTTAGTACCAAAAATTTTGAAGTTTAAAAATACATATACTGTATATAGGTGTATATATATATATATTTATATACATACTCTTTATTGCTCATTAAAACAGGTGAAATGATTACAATATTGCAAGAATGTTACTTTAGGTAAATTCCAAGCACAGTGTTTATTGTCGTTGTATATAAATGTCTGAATGGGATTTTCATATAAACTAGTGTGATCACAGACCTGTGTGAGGGTGTAATATTCTTATGGATATAATTTTTGGCTTCCGAAATTTTTTATTTGATCTCTCGTAATAATTCATGTGACAGTGACTTGCTAAATCTCTTCAGAATTTTCATCATCAGTGTTAATGTTATGTGAAGAGAATATTTATAATCATCTACAGCATATAACAAAGAATAGCACAATTAGTTTTCATCAAAATATTTTGTTACATTAAAAGTGTTCAGTGTTACTATTTTGGTATGCATTTTTAGTAAAGCATTTATAGGAAATATGAAATATATTATTAGTTGAGTGCTCAAGTTATTTTCCATTAATGGTGCCCTCTGTAACTTAGATATTGCTGATTATATTAGATGTTGCTGCTATAATTTGAGATATACACTACAGCTAAGGATAAGAGAGTATTATTTGCATCATTCTTATCAATGGATTTATTGTACTGATAGTCACAACTCAAGGTGAAAAGATAATTTAAGAGTACTGTACAAGAAAATTGTCAGAAATTTTTACAATTGGTTTATTACTGGGACAGATTTATGACTTTGTTCTACCCATGTTCCTTTTGTTGCTGGTCGGAGCATCGTATGTGTGCTGGCAGGTTAGCAAAGCATGCACAAATAGTACTGTACTAATAAAAGTTAATAGACTTTTAGATTTTAATATAATGAAACTATAACCTCATCACTTTTATTAGATATGAGGAAAACAGGAGTTAATTATAACCTTTATCATCACATGCATGTAAATATAGAGCCATTATTATTCTGTATAGAAGATGGCTTCACTGCTGCTGTATATTGGCAGTTTTTAACTATTCACTGTATACTATAACAAAGAATATTGGTGTTAAATAGTCTTAAATGCTTTTCATAAAATTTGACAGTATGTGTACTATTTGTGGTTGAAAAATTCTCTCTTATTCCAGTGTTTAAATATAACCCATATAAACACTGATCATTTTATAAATTACTATATTTTAAAAAAATTAATCATGAGGCAGGAAGCCCAGAGGATTTATTTATATGATCTTTTAAATATAACTAAGACTATTTGTTTATTCAACTATATTAATAATAATTTGCTTATTAATACAAGCAACATTAATCTACTATGCCAATTTCCATGAAATTTTGATTAGTGATTGTTTTGAATGATCATCCATGTTTATTTACTACAGTATTGATGGATCATATTTCAGCATGATTGTATTTAAAAAAAAATTGCTCTGATAACGTGTATGAGAAAGAACTTTATCCACAGAGGCAAACAAAGGAATGTCTTAAGAGCAAAGTGGTATCAGTACAATTCCACCAATACTTATTATATGGGTGAGAACCATGTAACAAGTGTTGGTTTTTGAACATTGCAGCAAGGAGAAGGTTGGAGACAGTGGAGATATGTTTGAGAGCAATGTGTGGTGTGAATATTATGCAGAGAATTCACATCTTAGTGTAGTGTTTTGGGGTTACTAAAAAGTATTATTCAAAAGAGAGGAGGGGTTGTTGAGATGGTTTGGACATAGAGAAAGAGTAGAACAGAATTGGATGACTAGGAGGGTACATAAATCTGGGGTGGAGGGCAGAGAGAAGAAGGGTTCATCCCAGGTAGGAATGGAGGGAAGTAGTAAGGAAAGTTTTGAGTGCTAGGCTCTTGGACATTAACAGGCATGTTAGAAAGGAGTGCATGGATTCTGTGATTTGATGTGCTGTTGGAGTGTGAGCAAGGTAACATTTATGAAGAGATTCAAGGAAAGTGGTTAGCTGGACTTGTGTTGTGGAGGTGGGAAATACAGTGCCTACACACTGAAGGAAGGGTGGAGATGTTGCAATTCAAAGGGTTATCCGAGCTGTTGATATCAGTATGCTTCTGACAAGACAGTGACTGAGTGAATGATGCTGAACTTGTTTCCATTTTTGGGTCAGTCTGTTTTGCTGGGAGACAGGTATTGTAAAAAAAAAAAAATTATTTATTTAGCTATATTTTCTTACAAGTGAAGCAATATTTGTCACCAAATACTTATAAATGGGATCTATTTAAGGCTGAATGATTTTCTAAGAGAATGGTTGCTGAATTTTTTAAGTATTTTATTAAGTAATGCTCTATCCTAAATATATAACTAGTGAATCTCATTTGTTACAGAAAACCATTGGTGTAAAAAAATTTTATTTAATATAGATGATATATAAATAACTGATGAAGTAAAATCTTTTGAAATTAGCTGTAATTTTTTTTATAATGGCAGTACTGTACCTCTGAATTATCTTGGGCATTTTCTCCAATTGTTATTAAGAACAATTTATAAATGTTTGATAATTGGAGTTAGCATATATATTGATCTTCACTAACAGTATTCATATATTTTGGAAGTTTTAATAAAAGTTGTACACCATAAAAACTGTCTTGTAGCTGTATAAAATAAAGCTTTACTTAAATATTTTATGCTTTTTCATGAACTACAGAAGGAGAATAAGATTGAAATGTGTTTAACCTATACACAGTATTTATCAACACATCTAGCACTGTATGACCCTTGTGGGTTTACTACTTGGTTATAATAATAATAATATTAGCACTTCTTTTTTATTATAATAATAATAATAATAATAATATCAACACATCTACATATCATTTTAAAATTGAGGAATGGATATTTTTATATTAACCTTTTTTTTTAATGCACTGGCCATCTCCCACCCATGCAGGGCAACCCAATAAGAAAAATAACATTTTTCTTTTTAAATTTAGTAATTTATACAAGAGAAGGGGTTACTAGCCCCTTACATGAACCTATTAACTTTTTGTACCCATGCTCTTATGCTATGCATTGCTCAGTCAGTTAAATTAAGCACCATTGGCTGAGACCAGCAAATGAATAGGTGTCCTTGTTAATAAGCCAATTAAATTTCCTGGCTCCACCTATACGCTTTTATAACTGTATCAGTTCTAAATGTAGTCCTGTTCAGTTCTGAGAATTTCATTTTTTATAGTTTTGTTCTTGGGCAACTGTTTCTTTTGTAGTTTCTTGACAGAAATCAATATGCCCTTGGTGAATAGCTAACATGAATCTTAAAGTCTTTTTCTGATACCTTGAATAATCTTCTTATGACATTTCCTATGTACTAGTAGAGACATGATAATGGAGACTGTTAGGTAAATGGACATAGATGTAACTAATTATTTTATTATTATCACACTGGCCGATTCCCACCAGGGCAGGGTGGCCCGAAAAAGAAAAACTTTCACCATCATTCACTCCATCACTGTCTTGCCAGAAGGGTGCTTTACACTACAGTTTTTAAACTGCAACATTAACACCCCTCCTTCAGAGTGCAGGCACTGTACTTCCCATCTCCAGGACTCAAGTCCTGTGGCAACATTTCACTCAACAGGAACTTTGTCAAGCTGTCATGGCTGACAAAGCTCCTGGAGAGTGAAATGTTGCCACAATGAAATGTCACATTAGTTACATCTATGTCCATTTACCTAACATTTTGTCAGTAACCCTACCATAATTAATAATGGAGGCTGATTAAGCTGATCCCTCATGTATTTACCATACATTGTGATCCAAGAAGCTGGGAGGTTGACACCTTGTCATCGCTCTTTCTTGAAGGCAAACTTCTTTCTGTGGTGAGACCAGGGGCAGATCTCCTATGAAACTAATGAAGCTTCAGGGGCCCTAATCCCAGAGGGGCCCCAGAAGGGACTTCAGTCCAAATTACTTAAAAATTTTGGGTCTTCAGTATGAGAAGGCATTGTGAAGGGGCCCTCATAACAGTTCAAGTTTCAGGACTCCAGAAATGTAGGTCTGCCACTGGGTGAGAGGACTGTGGTTTTTAATGTCATTTTTTTAAGGCACATGGGCTCAGGCATGCCTCATCTGGGCAGACCCCCTAGCACATACCTATCCTTATTGCACTATGTTAATTTTATTTTCTAAGGAGTCCAGCAGCAATTTTTTAATGCTTCCTATAAAATTATGGACACTGTTTTCTTAATTTTAAGTAAGGTTACATAAACCTACACTGTATGACTTTTGTGGGTTTAGCACTTACGTTTTAATTGTAATATTAATAATACATAGACCTACAATACATACCTCTCAAGACAGTACTACAAAAAGTTATATAAAATTTTGGTGAAAACCAAGTGAGGGGTTCTTAATTCAGGGAATTTGACCTGCCCTCTATCCTTGGATGGAATCTGATTGCCTCCCATTTGCCCAGTTGTTGTATGGCCCTACAGGTTTAGTGCTTCCCCATAAATGTAATAATGAAGTATGATCTCTGAATATAATAATATTGCCCATAGGATGAGCACTGGATGCACAATAGAACTCAAAGCACTTCCACTTTGCAAAGTAATATATACATACTAATAGGTATACATGTTATCTGCCTCTGTTATGTGCATGTGTAAAATGCTATAAGTTTTTGTATGATAAATATAATTTAAAATACAAATAATTCGAACTGGCCTCCTATTTCTTGGATCATATCTGATTGCCTCCCATTTCTCTGGTGTTGTACAAGCCCTGTTGGTTTAGTGCTCTCCCCTATGACTAATAATAATTTAAAATAACCATTATTTAATTAATGTATATGCACTTCTCTGAATTTTCAACAGAAACTAACCTGTTGCACCAACATTGATTTAAATTTTACTCTTGCACCTCATCCCTACTTCCACAAACACCTTCCCTCACACACCCCTGCTCCTAATGGACCCCCTACCTATCATGGGTTGCTTGGCAGTGTCCTCAGCTCACACACTAAGGGTCCAGGATCGACCCTTGACACAGGTGAAAATTTAAGTATGTTTCCTTACACCTGCTATCCCTATTTACCTAGCAGTAAGTAGGTACTTGGGTGTTAGTTGACTGTTGTGGGTTGCATTCTGGGGAACAAGATTAACTAAGTTGCCCAAAATGCTTTGCATGACCAGGGGCTTTCTGTATGGTATGCCAATAATGTCAGCTATGGTCTGTATCAGTTGTATCATGCACTGTACTTGCAGAAATAAAGATTATTTTCTTTTCAACGTACCAGCCATCTCCCACTGAGGCAGGTGACCAAAAAAAGAAGAAATCTATAAAGTTTTTCTTCTTTTTATCCAGGAGAAAGGATTACTAGCCCCTTACTCCCAGCAATTTAGCTGCTTCATACAACATGCAAGGCTTACGGAGGAAAGATTCTTTTCCACTTCCCCATGGAGATGAAAGGAAATAAAAATAAGAACAATGACTATTAAGAAAATAGATAGGTTAGTAGTATACATATACCTGTATATGCATGTGTAATGTGACCTAAGTAGAAGTAGCAAGACGTACCTGTTATCCACCGTATTATTATTGTTATTATTATTACTGTTATTATTATTATTATTATTATTATTATTGCTTTTGCAAATCCTTCCCTGCAGATCTGTGTGACCCTCTCAGGTTTAATATTTAAATTGAATATAATAATAATAATATAATAAATGTATGAAAGAGGGGAAGGTACCTAGGGATTGGCGGAGAGCGTGTATAGTCCCTTTATATAAAGGGAAAGGGGACAAAAGAGATTGTAAAAATTATAGAGGAATAAGTTTACTGAGTATACCAGGAAAAGTATATGGTAGAGTTATAATTGAAAGAATTAGAGGTAAGACAGAATGTAGAATTGCGGATGAGCAAGGAGGCTTCAGAGTGGGTAGGGGATGTGTAGATCAAATGTTTACATTGAAGCATATATGTGAACAGTATTTAGATAAAGGTAGGGAAGTTTTTATTGCATTTATGGATTTAGAAAAGGCATATGATAGAGTGGATAGAGGAGCAATGTGGCAGATGTTGCAAGTTTATGGAATAGGTGGTAAGTTACTAAATGCTGTAAAGAGCTTTTATGAGGATAGTGAGGCTCAGGTTAGGGTGTGTAGAAGAGAGGGAGACTACTTCCCGGTAAAAATAGGTCTTAGACAGGGATGTGTAATGTCACCATGGTTGTTTAATATATTTATAGATGGGGTTGTAAAAGAAGTAAATGCTAGGTGTTCGGGAGAGGGGTGGGATTAAATTATGGGGAATCAAATTCAAAATGGGAATTGACACAGTTACTTTTTGCTGATGATACTGTGCTTATGGGAGATTCTAAAGAAAAATTGCAAAGGTTAGTGGATGAGTTTGAGAATGTGTGTAAAGGTAGAAAGTTGAAAGTGAACATAGAAAAGAGTAAGGTGATGAGGGTATCAAATGATTTAGATAAAGAAAAATTGGATATCAAATTGGGGAGGAGGAGTATGGAAGAAGTGAATGTTTTCAGATACTTGGGAGTTGACGTGTCGGCGGATGGATTTATGAAGGATGAGGTTAATCATAGAATTGATGAGGGAAAAAAGGTGAGTGGTGCGTTGAGGTATATGTGGAGTCAAAAAACGTTATCTATGGAGGCAAAGAAGGAATGTATGAAAGTATAGTAGTACCACACTCTTATATGGATGTGAAGCTTGGGTGGTAAATGCAGCAGCGAGGAGACGGTTGGAGGCAGTGGAGATGTCCTGTCTAAGGGCAATGTGTGGTGTAAATATGCAGAAAATTCGGAGTGTGGAAATTAGGAGAAGGTGTGGAGTTAATAAAACCCATTAGTCAGAGGGCAGAAGAGGGGTTGTTGAGGTGGTTTGGTCATTTAGAGAGAATGGATCAAAGTAGAATGACATGGAAAGCATATAAATCTATAGGGGAAGGAAAGAGGGGTAGGGGTCGTCCTCGAAAGGGTTGGAAAGAGGGGTAAAGGAGGTTTTGTGGGCGAGGGGCTTGACTTCCAGCAAGCGTGCATGAGCGTGTTAGATAGGAGTGAATGGAGACGAATGATACTTGGGACCTGACGATCTGTTGGAGTGTGAGCAGGGTAATATTTAGTGAAGGGATTCAGGGAAACCGGTATTTTCTTATAGTCGGACTTGAGTCCTGGAAATGGGAAGTACAATGCCTGCACTTTAAAGGAGGGGTTTGGGATATTGGCAGTTTGGAGGGATATGTTGTGTATCTTTATATGTATATGCTTCTAAACTGTTGTATTCTGAGCACCTCTGCAAAAGCAGTGATAATGTGTGAGTGTGGTGAAAGTGTTGAATGATGATGAAAGTATTTTCTTTTTGGGGATTTTCTTTCTTTTTTGGGTCACCCTGCCTCGGTGGGAGACGACCAACTTGTTGAAAAAAAAAAAAAAAAAAAAAAAAAAAATATACATGTACTTTCAATGCATGGAATACTTTCACATCATTGATTATCAATGTTAGGTTCTCAATAATCAATCATAATCAAACTTATCTGGTGAGATATCTCAAGTGCCTATTGTTGCATGCTTGTGAGTTAACCATCTGCTGACAATATAAATAATTTAGTGCGTTTATATACAGTGTATAAAATATTAATAGTATATATATACATGTATGAATTTTTCTGAATTTATACCCTGGAAACTATACATGACAGTATTAGATATGACTAAGTACTAGTATAATATGGCAGAGGGACTTAATGAAAGGTAACTATGTTAATTGTTTGAATTATCTATTCGTGACTATTCATAGGTTCAGTGATAAACTTTATGATCAAACTGGTAAAACCTACTTGAACCTACCTTTGTGAATTCTCTGTTTCCATGAAATGACCTGCCTTAATGTGTTTCATAAAATAAAGACAATGTGTTGATGTTACTATTTGCTGGTGTATTTAAGTGTGAAGATCATATACTATGTTAAAAGAACATTTAAACTCATAGCACAAAAATATTCTGTTTACTGTAGAGGTTCCTAAGGAGAACGTTCTTTCATTTCAGATGTGATAATTATAAATTTCTATGGATTGCAAGCCATCATTTACTGATCCAGATTTGAATTTAATCCCATTGTTGCTTTGATTTTACAGGATTTCTACTTTCTTCTTGTTGGATTAAGTTTAATTTGGAATATAATAAGATAACCAACTATTTTTTTTCAAAGTAACTCATCCCTTACATTTTTTTTTTCAACAATTTAACCATCTCCCACCGAGGCAGTGTGACCCAAAAAGAAAGAAAATCCCAAAAAAAGAAAATACTTTCATCATCAATTCAACACTTTCACCACACTCACACATTATCACTGTTTTTGCAGAGGTGCTCAGAATACAACAGTTTAGAAGCATATACATATAAAGATACACAACATATCCCTCCAAACTGCCAATATCACAAACCCCTCCTTTAAAGCTGGTCAAGTCCCAAAAGCCATTCGTCTCTATTCGCTCCTCTCTAACATGCTCATGCAGGCTTGCTGGAAGTCCATGCCCCTCACCCACAAAACTTCCTTTAACCCCCTCCCTCCAACCTTTTCGAGGACGACCCCTACCCCGCCTTCCTTTCCCTACAGATTTATACGCTCTCCAAGTCATTCTACTTTGATCCATTCTCTCTAAATGACATCTAGGTGAGTACAAATAGAAAACACATCTGTCTGGCTCTCAGCAGATGGAGGATCAAGCCTCCGCCACTTCTTGCGCTGAATTACCCAGGGTTTAGCACTTAACATGAATGATTTAACTCTAAATGACCAAACCACCTCAACAACCCCTCTTCAGCCCTCTGGTTAATACTTTTAGTACTCCACACCTCCTAATTTCCACACTCCGAATTTTCTGCATAATATTTACACCACACATTGCCCTAAGACAGGACATCTCCACTGCCTCCAGCCACTTCCTCACTGCAGCATTTGCAACCCAAGCTTCACACCCATATAAGAGTGGTGGTACCACTATACTTTCGTACATTCCCTTCTTTGCCTCCATGGATAATAAATTAGACAGATTTAAAGTCCTGGAGATGGGAAGTGCAGTGCCTGCACTTTGAAGAAGGGGCAGGGATATTGCAGTCAGAGGATAATAGATTTAGATTTAGATTTTTTATTTTGACAAATTACATGGTTGTACAGAGGAATATAATAGTTGGGTGTACATGCCAAAAGCCCCTCTGTATGCTGAGCATTTCGGTCAAACTTAAAGATTAACTTAAGAATAGTAAGGCAATAATACATAGTTCATATGGTCATTAGATGAGTTAGAGTGAGTACAGGAGAATTTAATATTATATCAGGTGATGCTACATGGTTTTGATAAGTCTAGTAGAGACTTTACACTATTGAATTAGTTAATAAAGATTACAGTATTACAATGTAGCAATTTAAAACAATTTACAATGTGATGTATTACTTTGTAAATTGTTTTAAATTGTTACATTGTAATACTGTAATCTTTATTAACTAATTCAATAGTGTACAAAGTCTCTACTAGACTTATCAAAACCATGTTTACCTGGAGAGAGTTCCGGGGGTCAACGCCCCCGCGGCCCGGTCTGTGACCAGGCCTCATGTAGCACCGTGTAGCAACTAAATGAATGACTGTAAATATGTTTTCTTCTTTCAGTCTCCCTACCTTGGTGGGAGACAGCCGTTGTGCTAAAAAACTAATGTAAGTTGTATTGATATCTTAATTGATGTCATATGCAATTCCTGGGTATCTATACTAAAATATGTTTTGTCTGCAAAGCAAATTATTATAAACCTAATACAAAAATCTGAAGATGAAGATGTTTATGCTAGAGCCACTGGAAGATGTTCAATGCAGTAATCAAAGGCATGATCATATGTGGGTGGGGCCCACTAGTGGAAGCAGGTCAGGTCCATAAGGTAGGCCACAGATTTAGCAATAGAGCTGTAGATGTGGAGAGATGCAGCAGTTGACTAAATGTTCAAAATGTTTTGCATAATAAGGGTAATATATGCAAGATGATGTATTCTCATAACTGCAGCCAAACAAACTGCAACCCCTGAATTGCAACTTTGATTTATATATTAAAAAGATAGGAAATTTAACTTTAATAGTATCAACAAGTTGATGACTAAGACATGTGCAACATAAGAGAATCTGTATTGAGAGATGTATTCCCGAACAACAGGTGTTATCTACCTAGAACAAACATCTGCAATACATGAGTATCTTTTTTATTATTATAGTCATGGGGGAGAGCTAAACCCGTTGGGATTATACAGCACCTATGGGAGGGGGGATGGAAGGTTTTCAGGCTCAATTCAGGGAACTGGAGCACAGATTCAATTCCCTAGATCAAGAGCCCCTCACCAGCATCAAGGAACCTCCCTTGAGTGGATGAGTATCTTAACTGAGAGATATATATATATCTCCTGCACAACAGAATTATCTATCTAAAACCAGAAGGCTTGTGAATGTGGAGGACTTACTGGCTAAGTTTATTCAGGTAACATAAATACGTACATAAATAATCACTACATAGTAGCATATGTATATGAGAACGTTGGATAACCCCAAAAAAAGTCAGACAGCTCCTGTTTTACATAGAATAACAAAAAAAAAGTAAAAATGATTATTTGAAAAATTTCCATTGGGCCCTTAAGTTCTGTATGTTTGCTAAAATTTATAAATAAATAAATAAAAAATAAGTTTGCCAGAATTACTCTGCATATCTAAGTGCTTTCTGCATGTACACCCAATATTCAACCTTAGCACATTATTATAATAAAAAAAGAAGCGCCTAAACTTGCTAGGGTCATACAGCACTCATTCACTTTTGCACAAACCACTCATCATGATGAATTAATTATAATATAATATTTTTATTATTATAATATTTGTACAAAAAACTAGGGAAAGGAGGTAACGAGGGTTTGATCCATCGCGAAGGACGAGGACCAATTACAAATCCTCTCCACCGTCATGTGGTTTTGTTAATCAAAAGGTTATTTATTATATATAATTATTATTGTGATTATTATATTAGTAAGTAAGTAATTTATTCAGGTATACACAAATACAGTTTAAATAGAATTATCATACATAGCAGCATATGTGTAGAGAACCTGGATAACCACAAAAAGTCAGAGTGACTTATTTCCATTTGGGGCCTTTTACATTATTATTATAATATAAAGGTTATAATATTTTCTTATTATTCTACAATGTAAGATACATCTTATTTATCATACTAAAAAGACTATCTTACTACACGAGAGGTAATTAAGGACTATCTACAATACGAGAGTTTTTACTAGATAAGGTAAAAATTTTACACGTATTTAGCCCTAAACAAATAGAAATCATTCCCATCCTTTCTGTAGGCTTCATTCATCAGCAACTTTTTGGCACTCTTCTTGAATGGTTTATGCTATGACTGGCTTTGACATGTGCAGGCAGTATGTTCCATTCCTTTATTGCTGTACAATAAAAGGTGTTTGAAGCCTGGCCACTGACTGTGGCTACTACAAAGTTGTGCTCTCTCCCCCTAGTACTATGATTGCTTTGGTTCCCAACCTTGACAAATATTAATATTATCATCATATTATCATCATCAAGACTGGCTTGGTTGACAGTGCACTCGCCTCACACAGTGAGTGTCTGAGATTCAATCCCCGGCACGGGTGAAATGTTAGTCATGTTTCCTTAAGACACCTGCTGTCCATATTCACCTAGCAGTAAGTAGGTACCTGAGTGTTAGTTGACTGGTGTGGGTCGCATCCTGGGGGACAATTTACCTAATTTGCCTGAAATGTTCTGCATAACCAAAAACTTTCTATATTTTTATACAGTATGTCACTGATGTGAGCTATGGTCTGTATAAGTTGTATCATGTACTGGTAGAAATGAAGATTATTATTATTATTATTATTAAATATTATTATAATTATACTGTGCTAAATAAAACTTTTCCTGGACCTTGTGGGTTCATGCGCCTTTTGTTATGATATAATGTAGTCTACGGGTTATGCGCTCTGCATGAATGTTAATCCGGTTGTACTGCATAAAAAAAAAATTTGGTAAGAGAAAATGGAGTCATAATGAGTCAGTTGTCAGCCAGGAGGGCGAGGCAGGTGGGTGTGTTGCTTGTGTTCTCTGGGTTTATTACCCTATAGGGAACGCTAGACTCGTAGGGGGGGTCATACGCGCCTGGAAGGAATGCGGAAGGTTTGATCCAAGGGGAGGTAGATCAGTTCCTTGGATCTAGAGCTCTTCACCAGCGTGGGCACCTCCGTTGGGAAGGGTCCTGCCTCTTGTTTTGGTGTATATTTCCCATTTTTTTTATTAAATAAAACTGTATCAGGTCGTATAATTTCGTATATATGATTGTAAAACCGGTGTGATCAATATAACACAGGTGACAGTGTGGAAGACACTATACCAGGTTTTAATATTATATCCCCCCCCCCTCAAGGAAGGTTCCTTGAGTTGGTGAGGGGTCTTGATTTGGGGAATTGGATCTGTGCTCCATTTCCCAAAATTAAGCCTGAAGCCTTCACAACCCCCCCCCCCCCCCAGACGCTGTATAACCTCCGGGTTTAGCGCTTCCCCCCCGATTTAAAAAATAAAAATAATAAAATATATCCCCCCAAGCTGTATAATCCTCCCGGGTTAGCGCTTCCCCTTGATTATAAAAATAATAAAAATATAATAAAAAAAATTCCGACCCCACAATTTTTT